TTTACGTCTTTGTATTAAAAATTAAATTTTCTAGAAATTAAATAAGTCAAATGACGCGAGCAAGCAGAGCCTTATACCGACAAAATGTAATTCGCATAAGAAAAAAAATACATTTTATATAGGGAAAACACACCATCATAAAAGTGCGCGTATAACGCATATTCGTAGAAATTTTTCGATGTTTTTTTTTTTATAAACCATCAGTGAAAGTAGACCTTTCCAACGCATGTACTCGTTTGAAAATCGGTTGAGTGGTTCTCGAGTTATAAAATCACGAACATAGGACAACTTATTTTTATATATATAGATTACTCTTGCAAGTTGCTGGTTTAATTTTGATTTCGAAATTGTTTGTTGACTATTCTGGGCGCGAGGCTGACATCAACGTAATTAACGTCCCCTGTCGGATTGTTTGGTCGAAGCTCGATCAAAAATTAAAACGTCGCGATTCTACCCCATCACTGTTGCAAGACGAATTCTACTTCTGAAAAATTCATGCTGGAGAACTTCGATCCGTCACGTTCAATATTTGATCGTTCCTGTATGAGCCAAGAACGAAGATCGTTAAATTGTTAACGCGGAATACGAAGAATGAACCATGGTTAACGATTCATTTTGTTTCGGGAGCGATAAACAAGCACTAATTTAGGGTGGAAATTTTAAACCCTTTAATTTTCGCGAGAGGAACGACAAAGAGGACGTCGCGATGAAAAACCATGAACAAACCCATCTTGGCGGTTCTTCCGGACCGGAAATCTGTGCCCGCCACGGACCGTCGGCCAATCGAATCTCACAGGGAATTTAACACCCCTCTGGTGGACGGAAAAAAGCCGAAATTTCCAATTTTATCGAATCTCCGGTCGTCTGTCCCTTAAACAAATATTATCGCGACCGTTGGCTGATCGATGGGAAATTGAAATGAAATTTATTACGACTTCGACTCGAAAACGAAGAACATTCGGTCGATAGTTTGCAACGAAAGGTCGACGATGGCTAAAATTGTACTCGAATCAGCCGTTGCAACCGAGATCTATGCAAATCGAATTCCCTTTTGAAAATAATACAGTCGCCTCGAAACATCGAGTCGGAGAACTATTTAAAAGACATGTTAACTCGCAAAGAGAAAGAAAGGACGAGAAGACGAAGATCCATCGACCCGGGCACAGCATCTACGTGAACGACCTTATCGGAAAGACATAAACGCCCGGAATCCTAGCCGTAAATTAAGATCGACAGAACCGGACTCTTCTTCCGTTACGTCCTTTCCCGCCTTCTACTAATATTTTCGCCGTCTCTTCGACTTCGCGATTCCCGACGACTTTCCCCCGAATTCATATGATTTTCTACATCTATCTGACCTTAGTAACACGTAGTACAAGTTTAGTCCTAGCCCTTTGGACGGAGTGAATAATTTATTAACAGAATTAATGAAATGGGAGTTTCATAGAGGGTTGTCTCAGCCCCTACAAACAAAAATCCAAATCTTACTTTATTTTTTATATTTTTGCAAATATTAAGTGCATTCTGCAGTTTGTTCAGAATGAAAACTTCCCATAAATGCATACTTAGAGCACCGTATACGACCTTTCGTATTATCATACGTTTCATATGATCCCCCCCGTCATTCGTCCGCTGTATCCAAAAATATGGCGGCCACGTAGATCGCGTGACCATTACACAGGAGTCAAGAATTTTTACGGCCGCCCAAGACGAGGGGTAAGGATGACGATCCTTCCGTCGATGCTGTCGGTGCTAGCGCCAGCAAAGAAGAGAGCCAGGTTGATGGCGGGGTGTTCCGCGGTGAGAAGAATGGTGTGGGGCGGGAGAGAACAGGGGGTAGCAGTGGAGAGTCTATGCCGTAACAAGGGTGGCACGATTTCAAGAATGCGGAGCACGTTCTCAACCAATGCCAGCAGCCAGGCAGTAAAACAAATACGCCCTCCCTATATACGGGGTGTCCTGGCAATACCGCGTGTCTACGCTCTCGCGCCCCCTCCCCCTCACCCACCCCGTCACCCCCCATTCGCCTAAATCCCGGGGAGTCGGTCTCGTTACCGATACGAATGGAGGTAACGCGGCGTGTACGTAGCGAAACCTTTTCATGGCCTCGTCTTTGCAGACGAAACTAAAATTAACTCGAGACAGAGGAAAACTCCACGAAGCGACGAAAGAGTGTTTCTTGGCTTCGTTTATCGAAGGGTCGCCGGTATCCCTATCGGTCTATCCTTCGACGAGTTCCCGTTTAAACTAAGGTAATTTCGACCCCGCGAATCCTGTCCCGTGGCTATATTTTTCAGGACTGTTTATTCGACGATGACTCGAGCCGATCACGTATCTACGGTTACGACGATTACGTATCGACGCGACGATCGGCCTAGAATCCGGAATAAAGCAGTCAATTATTGTTGGCTCCCTTTTCAAGTATTCTCCGCGACGAGCACGAAATCCCCGGGTAGAACTGAACGTGAAACGGCCGATAAAAACCGTACAATGACTGGTACGAGCACGGAAACGCAAATGTCCTCTTTCAGCGAGACGTCTTCTTTGGAAGGGCAGCGAATGATGGACAGGTGAAAGAAGTGGCCAATGTGGGCTGGTTTCGGCGTCTCGTGTGACACACGACGTCGCCGGCCTTTATTTTCCTTCGCTCTTTTTTTTCACTTTTGATCGAGTGCTCCCGGTACTCTTTTGTCCCTCGCATCGAACCCCTTCTTTCTGCGTTTTATTTTTTCTTTTTTTCTCTCCCTCCCTGCAGAGAGTTCGTTTAGACGAGGATTTTCTCTGGGACAAGTCCGCGGAAATCGAACCGGACAGCTCGATACGAGCACGAGAGAAGGGTTGTTCCACGACAATAATATAAAACGCGAACGAAGGGGCGACCCGTGTCTAAGGTTTTGCTCCGGCTACCCTCTGCGAATCCAATTAATCCGTTCCGATTAATTAACGAAAACTTTTGTTTCGTTCGAGCATTCACTAGACGTAAATCTCTAACAAGCGACGATATAGATTCATAAATAAATTCCAAAATCACTTATACGCTACCCCTTGTAGTCTCCTAATAAAAGAAATTTCATTCTATGTGATATTCCGATCGTAACTCGTATGCAACCTGTTCCCGTTCGCGGAATCGTGAACCTGTTGACAATCTCTGATCTTTGATCGGTCAAACGGCACGTGGACGGCCTGCTCTCATTTTCAAAAGGGTCCTCCGACGATGGACCAGTTTTCCACCTGATCTGGATCACGATCTATTTTCGTTCGTCGTCGGAGTGTCATCCCTTCGAGCGAAACCTGTTCGCTCGCGTGGCGAGGTCCTGCCCCGCTCGAACCAGAACAATTCCGCGGATACCGGGCCGTTCGAAAACTGGTCCATCCGGAAAGGGATGCTGCCGCCTCTGAGCAACAATAGCCGCTGTCCACTCCATTGTGTACCGATTCAAACCGCAAAATGCATCGAGTTAGCCTTTGACTCTCGTTCGAAAATCTTCTCGGTCAATTTCCTCTGACAGAAGACTGGTCCACCGGAATGGGGGGATGCCGACGTATCCCTTTGTGTATAATGGCCAGTGTCTACTTAAGAGCAATAAACTCGATACACAAAACGTGGAACCGGTTGGCCTTTGACTTTTGCCGGAACGGGGACGAGCTACGTCGCTCCCTCTTTTTACATTCGTCCCCAGTGTCCCGTATCGGGATAGGTAAACGTTAAATAATATAAATATTGTGGAAAATAATATATGCTTCCAAGTAACAATTAACAAATGTTTTTATCTTAAATTGGGTAAGGATCGAAGAATATTACGAAAATAAAGGAAAATTAATTATTTTCAATAAGGACGAAATAAAGCTTAGAAACGAGGAGTATTTTTATTTTATTTCGAGCATTGTCCCGCCATGGAGGTTCGATTTCTCACCCCTGCAACTTAGGAATTGCCCTCTGGCGAATGCTACGACAAGCTGCGAAACGGAAGTTGGTATTGGAGAAATCTACGGTAGCTACGCACGATATACGATCGAAATAAAATCAAATCATAAACGAAATATACTCGTGTACCTCGTCCGTGCCTATGACTCGTCTACGATTTTATTTATTTTATTTATTCATCGAAAACGAATTTTTTCTTGCCGGTAACGTGAATTTCTTTCAACACCTACAATAGATGGGGCAGAGTTCCTAGACTCGACGAACGTTACAAGATGGAGGCACGGATTTGAATGGAGGGAAATAGATTTCGAATGTTTTGGTCTTGTAATCAAAATTAACGTGATTATTACGAAATATAAAATTGTATACGTAAGCAAAATTATGTTCGAAGTCCGAGCAAACCCCGATAGAGCTTGTGTTGTGTTTCGATCGTTCCTAAGCAACGATATGTCGCGTATCGGACGCATACGTAGTGTCGCATCGCGCGTCAAGTGTTATGGATTTCTAACGTCTAACCAGAAAAAGTGAGTGTCTCGGCTTGCAATGTACGGAACGAATCAACGATCGTGCGACGACTCGACCGAACAGCAGCAGGCTAGGCTACGAAAGATCAAGGAACTGACCGACATCATAAAGGTTGACTCGCACGGAATTTCGAAATACACCTTGCACCGCGTAATGTCTATCGTTTCTTTCGCAGGACACCGACAAAAATCTGACCGTGTGCGAGGAAATATTGGCGGCCTACGTGAGAAAACGTCTGAGGGTAGGTGGACAAATTAATTTACCCTTTCTGTAACGTGAGTTGTTTATTCTCGTCGTGACAGTCTGAATCACTGTACAAAGTATCGAACGACCATCGATGGGTTTTCGTTTTAATTGTTGCTTCGTACACCGAAAACTCTAACGATTAATACATTCTAACATTAGTACTCAGTCTTAGTATCGTGGCAATCGTTGTTAAAAAAAACTGTCGACGATTCAAACTCATCAAAAACTGTTACGTGCCAAGGAATAATCGTGATATATGTATATTTGTTAAGTCTCGAAAATGTCGTGGACGGTGGCTCCGAATTTACCAGCCACCGTGCCAACCGCGATATCCGCCGTATCCGCCGTATCCGCCGTGTCCACCGTATCCTCCGTATCCACCGTATCCACCGTATCCGTGACCATAATACACAGGCCAACCAGGGTACCAGCCAGAGTACCATCCGTGACCACCGTACCTAAAATCGAAACTCGTCAACACCTACAAAAATAGCCTACTGTCGCGTTTCGTGAAAAGAATTAACAACCTCTATCTTTACGACCGGAGAGTTTGCAAAAATTTCAGATTGGAATCGATACCGCTAAAAACATACCAAGTTGCTCCATCTGATCTTAAAATTCAATCGAAGCAAACAGACTAAAAGGACATTTTCTTTAGCTTTTGGAGAACAATCTCCAGCACTCCACCTCTACCTTTCCAGCCTTGCTTTCTCGAAGTTTACGTACCAAGGCCATCCGTAACTATAGCCTCCATAACCACCCCATGGTCCCCAACCGTAACTTCTTTTCGCTAGTTTTTTATCGCCCTCTCCATCCTGTGGATTAACCTGGACCTGATTCTCGGTGACTGTTTGTTCCGGCACGTCGTTGGTGCTCGTCACTTTTTCGGGGACGTTGGTGCTGGTGGCGGCGGCGAAAGCGACCAACAATAGTAGCCACTGAAATCATGATCTAACGTCACCAAAGCACTGTTTCTCCCATAGAGATCGATTAACGACACTGTTTCACTGGCTCGAGACAGCAGAGAGGGTTTCGATATCTCGAAGGTAACTCCGTCGCACTGGAACCGCGCTCTTACCAGAAGATTCATGGTTAAACCTGGCTCACTGTCACACTGTGTGGTCCAAAGGGCGATCGGTTCTTTTATACCCATGTGCCTCATGGAAATCGTTGCCAGAGTTATGTACAACACCGGTATTTTCTAATGTCCTGACTGACAAGTTCGAGGTACAATCGCCATTTAAGGGATCATCCAGCTACGTAACGACTTGCACCGATAATGCATTCATCTGGCGCGAGTGGCGAAAACACAAGCGCATAACTCGAATTCCGACGACTTCCAACAACTATCCTTAATTGAAACGGGATCACGTAAGCGGGATCTTTTGTCACTATTGGCCAACGGACGATTACTTTGATTCTTCGTTAATAGGGTCCATTTTAAAAGATGCTTATTCCATAGATCGTAGTTTATTTCGTGCTAAATATATTAACCCTCGAAGAAGTCACGTTTTATATTCCGTAAACGCGATCTCATTAATTAAATCTATTCGTCGCGAACAGGACCGAATGTCTGCCATTAAACCTGCCCCTGATTGATGTAGTAGTTAAAGGAGACTTGGAACTTTTCTAATCTCTTAACGGCTCACTCAATGGTTGTAATTCGTTGCAAGAAAAAGGATATTCCTACTAAGGAGTTCTGCTCGTAAAGAATTCCTGAGGAATGTTTGCTCGTGATACAATTCCCAACTTTCGTTAGATCGATTCGATTAATCGTCGGTATCCCATTTTTTTCGAACTTTAATGTTCCCAGATTGGTACGAACGATGATCGAGCGACGAGCACTAAAGGGACATTAACATTCGGATGAATATCGCGTATTTCGTAATAGCTTCGCGGCAATTTCGCTGTTCTAAAATAATCTAGGCAACGGTTCCGAGCAATCTGTGTGCCATATTTATCTCGTCCATTGTTCGGAGTGTAAGGTAATGCAGAAAATAATCCTGAGAACGTTCCCAAAAGCTGCACACGCAATTTGCAGCGTTTCACGCGTCGTGTAATCGCCGTGCTATAGTAATTAAGTAATTACGGGCATGACAGTCGATCGAAACAGGCTCGGAACGAACCGCGTCGGCAGCCGTTCATGGAGTTGCGACAAATAACGAACAGGAACTCGCGGTTACATAAATACAAGCCCTTTTCTCGAATCGTTTTACCAGTAAAAACGACCGTCGTTAATTTTTTGTTCGTAACCGCGTCGCAATTGTCCTATTAAGGAGTTTTTGTCGCACCAGTCCAGGAAATCGAAACGGCCTCCGTTTGTTCGAACTTTCTCTGGGTGGAGAACAGGTGACATAATCGGCACACTTATGAAAGCCCCTCGTGGAAATATCTAAACGCGACACGGCTTATTATTCGTAACGTCGTCGTTAATTCAGCTACATATGCGATACTTTGAAACCGTGCTCTTGTCACGCATCGAGTGATCCCGTTTCCCAACGAACGACCATTCCCAAATCGTTATTTACGAAACAACGATTTTACGCGTATAAGTATACAGTATTTTCTCTATATAAGCTCGGAACTCGTCCACGATATTGGCAAATATCATATCCCCTCTACTTATCCCCACTGCGTACCGTTAGAACTAAGCACTCGCTGTATCGGCGAGTATGCCTTCCTATGGGCGGTTCCCCAAGATAGCGGCGCGTTTGACAGTCGGTCGTCGAACATTGTCATACGATACGGGCTCAAATTACTAAGGCAACACTAGTGCAATAATACAAATTTTTTATTTTTCGTTTTCTTGTTTTGAAACTTTTAACATGTCTGTGACAGTTTTCTGATTTAACTAAGATCAAGTACAACATAATTTTTATTATTGTTTTTCATAAATTATAATATACATTTGACCTTTCTTTAAAGTGTATCCTCATCTGAAAAAAGGAATTGTAATTTAATTGGCCTATCATTTATTTGCCGAAATCGTGAGACAACTCAGAGTAAAATAAGTTGGTTAAACAGTTTAAATTCGCAAGTTATGTATATCTTTTCGGGTTATATCACTATTGCAGTAAACGATCGATACATACATATATGTACTGAAGTTATGACACGATTTAACTAGTACATATACAATATTAAATCAACAACGAAATTCATCTTTATTTTTGTTCTTCCTTTTTTCAAACTTCATCAACATATTCGTGACACTTTTCTGATTAAAATGACACCAAATACGATATACAATTTAGGTCCTATTTACTAACGCAATAAGAAATCAAAGGCATGCATCGCTCAAGTGACTCCACGTCGGCTGTATCGAAACACAGGCGATGTTTACGCGAGCCTATACAGAATCAGTATTTCATTCTGCGACCTCTACCAAGAGAGGTAGAAGTCAGAATTAGAACACCGATTTCGTATAGGCTCGCATAAACATCGCCTGTGTTTCGTTACAGCCGACCCGAAGCGAAGGAAGCGATAGCAAATTCGGCGATGCTCGGCCGCTCAGTCCCTCTTTGTCATATGCTCGCTGTTCTTTTCTATACTCGCCGCCTCCAGTAGGCGTCAACAAAGTATCAAGAATCGTTTCTCGTCCACGATATAGCCGAGCGTTGAGCCCCGAGAGCGTCGCTTCTATAGAGACAATACTGTATAGTTGTTTTCGCTTGCTCTCTCGCGACGCTCGATTAAACTCTTCTTTTACGTACAAGGTTTAATTGGCTCGTTTCCTGCGTTGCGCAACAATTGCAGAACGTCTGGTAATAAAGTCGTTCGGAATAAAAAGTTTCCGTAGCAACTGATCCCTATCCGTCTAATCCGCACGGACTATATTCGTACCAGGACAATTCCGCGCGGAGATTTCTTTCCTCGGTTCGCGCGAAACGTTCAAACTGCGTGGATCGATTCGGATTACGATTCACGGAAAGTCTGCACGCGTCGACGAGCCTCCCACCGACAAAGGACGCAGTGAAATCATACGTTAACGAGTGTTCGCCTAACGATTATCGTTAAAAATGAACAGAGCACGTGTGCACGATTCGGAACGCGCTTTTTCCAATTTAGTGCGCCAAACGTTGCTTGAAATTTGAAATATCCTGCCGGATATCGTCGATCAGTTGCAAGAACGGTATCGCAGAACCACTAAATTGAGTAGAAATTTTTAAATTTAAAATCGTAACTGGCTCCGCTGTTCCCTCGAAAATCTTTCGTAATGGAATTATTAAGTACCGCGAGCAACGAACACCGAGGTAATTATCAAGGGGCGATCGTACGCGGTCTCTGTTCGTTAGGAGAACCATAGCCATCGGCGTAATTACGCGTTCGCGAGTACGCGTGCAGTTAAACCGTGTCACAGTCCATTGTGTACGGTTCGAGAAAAGGCAGCGCGCGGTTTCGTTCCCGCGGTGTGTCGTCGTGCCGCTTCAGTTGTTGCAAATCAACAGGCAGGTCTGTGCAATTGAGGAGAAACTCGGCATTTCTTTCCGACGTTATGCAAAAATTCGTCCCTCCCCCTTCCCTCTCCCACCCAACTTTGTTGGACGACGTTCGAGCCGAGACACTCGGCGAACAGTGGTCGCGGAACGCTGTGGCACAAAAGTACTGCAACGCCTGGACCTCGCGAGAGCTTTTCGCGCGATGGCGGTGCATCTCTTTGGAACCTCGACATTCGGCGGAGTTCGGTCATAAATCGCGTCGAATACTAGAGTTCACGCCCTCGCGATGACACGGGAAGTCAACGTTTTCGGTTTGGATACAGAGACTGGCCTAACAGAGACCGCTCGTAGCCATCGAGGATGAGACTTTGGACACTCTGCGTTTTGTGTTGGCTGTGCGTGCTGTGCACACGAGGCGCCACATACGAGCAACCTGACTCGAACTCCTCGAGGTCCGAAGACGACTTTAAGAATTTCACCAGCCCCCGCGACAAACGTGCGCTGGGTTTGATACTGTCGGGTCTGGCGCAGGTTTTCGGATACAATGTGAGCCCGGTGCAGTTGGCGACGTTACCCAACGCGAATCCCGACCCATCGGCGGACGGAGGGACCACGTCGTCCTCGTCTCGACAAAACGCGCCATGTTCGAACTCCACCCAGCCGACCTCGTCGACCGCCGCGACGCCCAGACAACGAGAGACCATCAGGTTCACCGGCGTCCTGAACTTTGGCAACACCACGAGCCTCCTAAACCATTTGCAAGAATACGAGAACATCTTCCACGGCGGAGGAAGCGTTTCGAACGCGACGCAAGCACCGCCGTCCACGACGACGCTTCCCTCGATCGATCCAAGGACGCCCGACTCCAGGCAACCCCTCTTGGTGACCATCCCCTTGCCTGCCGTGCGACAGCCACCTCTGCCCGAGATTCCTCCGCAGGACATTAAACTGTCCTACCCCCAACCGTACGTTATCGTTCAGCAGGGTCAGATGCCCGTAAGGAACCAGACCGCGAAGAACAAGGAGACTCAAGCGGCGAAGGACGTGCAAACCTCGCCTCCGCCGATCGTTTACGCTCAGGAGCCTCACTGGAAGAAGGAGTACGAGGACAGACTGGCTGAGCTCGAGCGGAAACAGGAAGAGCAAGCGGAAAGGCTGAGACAGCAGGAGCGGTACAGAAATCGGGTGAAGGACGGTGGCTATAATGGCGAATACGAAGAGAAGCAGAAGGAGTATAAAGACGAGGATTCGGGATGCAAGGAAAATTGCAAGGCTAATTATTCAACGGAGGAAGACGATTCTAGGGAGAGGTACGAATACTCGGGTCAGAAAGGGTCCCAGGAGAATCGGGACGATAAGTATCGCGAGTACGAGAAGGATGTCGTTGACAAAGACCCGCCATCGTCCAACTATAGTTACTTCAACGTGGAATACGACAAACCGCTGCCGATAAGCGTCGACGACGAACAACGACGACCGGAGGAGCTTCGCGACAGCTATGGCCAGCTACTGAACAGTCGCGAGCTGATAGACGATGGATTCGCCAACTACTTCGGGAAGCTCCAGCAGTCGCTAAGTAATTTGTACAGCGGGCCGGAGGCTCCTAATTCCGGCGAGGCCTCCAGGGAAGAGGAGGATTCGTCGAGTCGCGAGAACGAGGACGACGGGGGAAGCAACGAGAAAGCGAAGGAGTACGATCTTCCAGCGACCAACAAGTACGAGGAGTACAGTTTGGAGGAAGACACGGACACGAAGAGGAAGGATGTGGAAAATTCCAAAGAGGATAGTCCCATACTGCCCGCGAGGAATTCGAACAGAATTCCATCCAACGAGAATCGAACGTATCTGAATGAACAGAACTCGAACGAGCGGGTGGATTACAGCAAGTTCATGCCTCTGCTCGTCCCGGTTCGGTACTTGACTGCTCCCGAGGAGCAGAAAAGAGCCGAGAAGTCGGGCAAAGCGAATAAATTGTCGCCCAAAGAGTCGAGGAGACCGAAGAAGGAAAATGTAAAGCCCAAGATAGGTATCCCGGAACGACGATCGCCGAAGAAGCTCCACGAGGGCGAGCAGAAGGAGTTGCAAGCGTGGCCGGCGCCGTTCGACTTTGTCCTGGACAGTACGATTCAAACGGAAGTCGTTACCGCGAAACCAGAACGCTCCATCGTCAAACCCAACGTGCATCGAAAGCTTGAATCGCACGGTAAAGGGAACGGGAAGGTTCCGCGGGTTGAGGATCTGGCGAAGCGTGTCGATAGTCCGGAACGAACGAATCGCAACTATCCCGAAGACGTTAATTACCGGAGGTACAAGGAGGATCTCGAGTCTCGACAGAGAACGTCTACGGGTCGAACGAACCCGAGCCAAAGGATTTCGAATCGCAAGTATCCCGAACTCGAAGACCCTAAACTTCATCAGAGAAAAGAAGCATCGAACTTTATGAAACGCTACAAGTACATATCGAACGATAATAATGGGAAACTGGAACGACCAAATGTTAAACAGTTGCAATCTGTTCGACAATTTCCGAATTCGATGTATTCCAAAAGAATGGATCCTTTGAAACGGAGCACGGGCACCACCGACCCTGTTATGGGATATTATTATAGTGGACAGTATCCTGCGGAAGCGCCAGGTGGTAAAGGTCAAGATACGCCGGGTTTTCAACTTATTTCGCAGAGATCGGTGCCGGCGATGGCTTTCGATACTCCCGTGGGTGGCCAGGATTTGTTCAGTTTCGGCGGAAACTATCGCCTCGATCGCCAAGAAAAAGATGAGAAATCGATCGGATTTTTAGAAGGGGACAAAAAGATTAAGGGGAACGAAGCAATGATTGGCCTACCCGTGTCGCCGCATAGCGCGTATCATCATGGCGAAACAACGAAATTTGCCAGTGAACCGGAAAGCAAAAACGAGAAAGTTGAAATGGGATATTACGTGAACAGTGAGACTGTTATGCGTACCTCGGAACAAAAACAAGTTAATCCGAACGAATCGATCGGTTACATCAACTTCGCCCACGTTTTGTAACATTTAGCAATCTCAAAATTGTTTATACGCGTCGAACAATTTCCAGACGTAAGTGATTATATTTATTATTATCGGAGATATTCCGATAGTTAGGGATGCTAAGAACAGTTCAAGGTTGCTTGGATTTTTTAAAATACTACTTCGTAGACTATTTGGAGCATCTTAATATTTATTTATTGTTCATTGATAAACTGCAGATGTCTGAATAAGTCAGGAACTGTTAACAAAATATATGGAAACCTTGAAATGTCCTAAAAGTTTTCACGTACCATCTTTTTTCCATAATATGTACTTAAAAGCGAACCAACATGCATTAAAGTGTATTTATTATAACTTAATTAATAAATCCACCAGTATTTTGTAGGTTTGAATGTTGAAAAATGCTAAAATTTATTCCTCAATATTTTCTATTCTATATAATGTTAATAAGCGTTTAAAATAAATTCTATTTAATCCAATGTAATACTATACATATTGTGTGATTTATTACGAGTGCAAAATAGATTAGTAAATGATGTAAAAATTTAAATAAAATTCCAATAGTGTAATTTTACAAATAACAAATAACAGTACTACTTCTATTTATCTACGTACATTAATATCATAACGTTCCTTTTATATTATAGCAATGTCCAACAATTCCATTAATATTACGTAATATTGCAAATATGTTGCAGGATAAGCAAGAAGAAATGCAAAGACATACCGAACTGGAGATCAAGATGGCCGACATTCTGGAAAATTTGAAGACACGCTTGCTTGTCGAATAAATCACTGTTATATATGTGCATATTGAGAAGCTAAACTAAATTGATACAGAAAACTATCAACGATGCAAATACGCGTTATTCGTTGCATAACTAATACTTTTCTATCACTTTTTAACACCGTTTTAATTAATTAAAGAACAGACAAATTAACTACTCTTATCCCGCGCACAACAGCCATGTTTCTGAGCAATTATTTCGATTATCGAAATATGCAATACCGCGCTCACATATCGATTGTTCTCGACATAGATAGACGACTAGAGGGCGCTACTGTTGCTAAGTGAACGTTTGAAAATGTAATCTAACGAAGGCAGTGTGCTTAAATATCATTGTTTTAATAAATAAATGTACAAATGTGCAATTAAATAGTTCAGTATTACAGATTATATTTTTTATAAGATTTGATTTTAAGTTATATTCTCAACACGATGGAGGAATTTTTACAAAATATCGGTTTAGGCTTGAGATCTATAAGTGACGAGTTTTTTGAGGATTCGTATCGTGCTTGCAAAATTTTTCAACGAAAAGGCATCACCGTTGAAGACGATGAAGAATTGTGTCATGAAGTGTAAATAAAAGCTTTTTTTATTACTTATATATTTGAATGTACTACATAACCTAAAACCCGTAACATTTCTAATTAATTTCAGTATAAGAGAATTTCCTTGTTACGCTGCTGGTTGTAATGCCACGTTTCAAACGTTGCTTGATTTTGAAATGCATTACAATAATTACCATCGTTACGTTTGCATAGAGTGTAAAAAGGCTCTGCCAAGCCCTAGATTGCTAGATATTCATATTCAAGAAATTCACGACAGCTATTTTCACGTTTTATCTGCGACTCAACCAATGGTATTTATATATTCCACGTTGCTATATTCGATATATTATATTGTTTATTAACATTTATATTTTCTTTCTAGTATCAATGTTATGTTTCCGAGTGTAATTTAAAGTTTAATGATTTCGTGGAGAGGAGAAACCATTGCACGAATGTACACAAGTTTCCTAAGAATTTTCGTTTCGACAATACTCCCCATTATGTGAAAAAAGAGCCAAAAGATAAAATGGACATTGACGACCCAAAGCATGAAAGGAAGGAGCCAAAAACTAAGAAGGTTCAGTTAAGTAAAAATCAAAAAATTAAAATGTTTCCACCCATAACCAGAAGTACAAACATAGTCAAGTCTAATTTTAACGAGAACCAATCGTGTTCTTCTAATCCTATTGTTGGGGCATCTTCTCTATCTTTTATTCCTCGGCAAATACAAAAATCATACACAAAAGCACTCACTAATAATCAGAGTAACGAAAAGAATGTTCTTGAAACAGAAACTATGATGGACTTGGCTGAATCGTTACCTACATAATACTGATGATTAAAGTAACGGTATATGTTGTACAATTTTAGCAGAAATATTTTTAATAAATGACATTTTTTTTTATTATAAATATATTTTAAATATCGCAACAATATTTATATGTACAATGCAGCTTAAAAAATTTATTATCTTAGGTCATTTCTAACCTATTTTCATTTATTTACATATTTCTCCTTGCTTATTTTATTTTATACATAAATTCGGTTGCTTTGATCTGCTCGTAAAATGTGAAATACCTTATCCGCCAAAGTACGTGCAACGTTAATATAAAAATACATCAAACTTTTATACTTCAGATAAAGCTAATATACCAAATAGCCTTTTTAACGCGATCTACATTGCCTTACAATTAACTTGGTGAAACTAGCAACTTTCTTGGAAAATTACTCTCCAGATATTAATACTATGACTTCGAAACACTTTTTCTACAATATACGTTGCGTCCCGTGGACCGTAGACAATCGACTGGATGATTTTACGAGCAACAGTAAATCTAAGAGAAAATATAAATATTCTGGATGCTTCCGCCATCTATGAAAATCGTGCACGAACTACGCTATAATCAGTGAACAATTTCGCTATCTCGTTGCGATGAAACTTCGTTTGTTTGCTGAAATTACGTATACCTGCTATATACACTGTAAATATCTATAGTTGAAACGATCGAGAGCGTATATTGACGATTTAAATACGTTGCGCCATATTGATTTACGATCGGTAAACCGTTAATCCAGATCATCGCCATGTTTACAATTTACAAGTACAAATCAAAACAAGATTACATATCGAAATACGTAATATAGCCGCGATCGAATGCACGCATACCGGATAGACTTTCGAATTCGATTTTTTCCATGGTTCGCGGGATCCCCTGTACCATAAAGAAAACATCTGAAATTCCATCTCGAAACTAAGAATTAACCAAATAAATGTAGAACAAAAAAAAAAAAATGGCGGACATTTACAGGGAATTTGTTACTCACAAAATGCAATACGAACGTTCACCCATTCGCAGATCTTCCGAATAAGTGCTCGGGAAATGAATTTAATTCTTCGTGAGCACCAGAAGAATAATAACAGCTTATAGTCGAGCTCTGTACAAGGCATCCTGCTTCTAAGTCGTGTAAACCATACATCTTAGCTTGGCCGTTTCGTTTCTGAGTGCAACCAGCTCGTACTTCAATTTCATATTCTCTTGTTCCAAGAAAGCCGCCCTGATTGCGATTTCGTCCTCCTTGGCCCTTCGAGCGTCCCTGGATCGTTTCGCGGCTTCGTTGTTTTTCCTTCTCCTCTCCCAGTACGCCGCGTCCTTCTCGTCCACCGTGCTGGTTGGCAATACAGGGCTCTTTGTCACCCGACGCATTTTAATGTTCGTTCCCTCGTTCGATCGCCTCACCGATTCCAGCATTCGTTTCCGAAATTCCGAGTACGCCTCGTTAGAATTCGGATCGTACATCATCTCTGTCGATCCCATGGTCAGCGAGAGCGGGTCCTTTGGGTACGCTTTGAACGGTCTCGGTGCTTTCTTCCCAGGATCTGAAGACAAACCCGATATCGTTTCGTTGCCACAGTTCGTTGACGGTGTTATCGTCGTCGTCGATGTCGCGGTAGCACCGATCATTTGATCCGGCTTCGAGGCTACGTTGCTTTGAGGGAACAACGCGGGCAGCACCGTGGGCACCATCGGAATCGAAATATTCATCGGGAGAATCGAGAAACCACCGCGCGGACCGATCACGGTGTTATCGGTATCCGCGTTCGCGCAGTTGTAAATAGCCTCGTATTTAATCTTCTTCGGCGAATCCGACTCGGATGGTGGCGTCACCATGAACGTCCGTCCTTCGAAAGGACTCTTTCGCTCGGAATCCGAGAAATGGCCCGTTTGTTGTTGTTGTTTCTGCGTGCTCGCGGGCGAGTACGAACGCGAGACGTCCGAAACCGATTCCCCCGTCGACGCGGTCTGCTTCTTGCAGGAAAGGTCGAGAACCGGCTGCTCGACTGGTCCCGCGTGCGATTCTCGCATCGGGCACGATGTAAAATCTAATGCTTGCAGACTGGCCATCGACGACTCGAGATAGGCCTCCATTTTACTTCCTACGCACCTTGGAGCGGGAAAACAATCGATTAAAAATGGGTACTTCGAACTTGTCGATAGTGGTATTTCGATTAATATTTACGGAATATCGTACACTGTTCCACGGAATAGATCGCGACGAACGAAAGTAATAGTTAACGATCTTTCGAAATCGTAGAAAGCTGACGAAACGAGTAATAACTGTACAGTTTGGAAAATCGGTAATGGGATCCTCTACGATTGCAAAGAGATTCGAGCTATGGTCAACGAATAAAAAATAGACGATGTATCGAGAAATATTGCGCGAGTTAGAGAAACAGGGACTGTATGCAGCAAATTCTTCTTACCTAATAATTAATCCGAGGTCATGCACCAATCACTAAGTTTCACAACACCGAGTCGCGGTCTCTGTTCCGACTCGCGTCACCGACAACCGATCGAATCACTCGAAACGATGGAACCCAGTATGGTTTTTGGGCAAAGGCGCTCGCACAGCAAATCACCAAAATCGTTTAGAACGAGAGGGTGTGCACTTTCGCTTATATACTGGCCAACCCTTGCAAGAACCAGGGGTAGGAGGTCTCCTTAGAAAATAGTGGGGAGGGGCTCGTGATGACCATAGCGCCGGGGTCGAACTGGCACGCGTTCGCCACTTACCGTTTCCAAAATGTTTATGAAACGTCACGTTCGCGTTATTACGTAGTCGTGATCTCGCGAACGAGCCGCGTATCGTCGTATTTACCATACAACAACCGATCGAAACTATTTCGATAACAATGCCGCCACGAACGAACCAACATTTTTCTAACACCACGGCTTCGATACAATGAACTTTTTATTACAACATTCGGAAATAAAAAAATGCACGAAATCGTAGATTATTTGCAGCGGAAAATTTATTTTTATCGCATTTTTCGTGAGAGGATAAAATAAAATTTTTTGTCTAAAATTTTCTACTCTACTAAAAGCGTGAAAAGGAACCACGGGTCACGACTTAATTGTTCCATCGCGTCGATTCAAAGGCGTAGAATCCCCGCTAGGATGGTCGTGACACATAATTTCCATACACCGTACACAGTCCGCGTCGAATGTTTCGGTAAATCGAAGAGTTGCATAAAGATTTATAGTTCGAGGTAGCCACGGCCCCGCCACCGTACCTGTAACAGCAATTTTCTTCCGTCCATAATGGAAACGATTGCAGTAACTTCTTGACGCCGAACAATCGAATCCCGCTAAATGAATCCACCCGACGTTGCCCCAGGTTTTCTAGAAATCCAGTTACCAGCTGGCCCACTAAACCCTTCCGGTTCATCCTCGAAAATCCTGCGTAAGGATAGGTTAATGTTCGGTTTTAAAACGGTCGAGTGTTTCGACGTTTGGTAGCCGGTATCTGCGACGCGGGGCGTCCATTCGTGCGACGCTTAACTGTCCAGTCGACGGTACACAGGATCGCTGCATAACCCTTTCGTTGGGCCTTCCCTTTGCTATTTCCCGTAGTATTCCGTCGGCTCGGTAAACTGCTCATAAATTAGCCGGGGCGAAAGTGTTGCGGCCGAGTGAAATTTGCGAAATATTTAAATGTCCATCGACTCGAGGATAAGTGAGAGTTTCGAGGCTTGCATCTTCGGACTCATTGTCGTTGATGGATCTTTCCTCGGTCCTTACTCGTTAGGGACGAACGACATATGGCAATTTTCGTGCCTAACCGACGAAAGATGGGCTTGTTTTCTCTGGCTGACTAATGGTTCGCTTTCGATAACCGGGTACGCAAGCTCGTGGGTTAATCGTTGTGTAGGCGGACTTTTCGAAGAAACGGAATTCGCGATGATAAAAATTAAAGAACGTTGGTAAGATTAATCATTGCTCGAAGTAACACGAGGTGTGTAAATTAAGTAACGAGAGATCAAAATCACTTCCATGGGAAGCCACACAGCGTTGGAGACGATTCTTCCAATCCTCATAGCAGAGCTGGAACTCTGATACTGGTATAGCCTTCAGCCGGTCGGTTTAATGTTTTCGAGTGTCCCGAAATGACGTCCCTTGAGGTGATTTGTCAATCTCGGGAAGGGGAAAAAATCACGAGGACTCAAGTCAGGCAAATGAGGAGGCTGAGGAGCCACAGGAATGTTTTTACTGGCCAAAAACTCATTTACTGAAATAGCTGTGTGACGAGGCGCATTGTCATGATACAACACCCACTTTTTCGAAGTTTTTCTAGAACTTCCCGGCAAAAGTGTTGATTGACCGTTTAGCCTTGAAGCACAAACTGTTTGTGGACTTTTGACTCATTTTTAGAACGCACTAGAAAGAGCTGTTTTACGAAAACAACTGCTACTGACAACCAAATGACTTTAGCGGGCACAATGTCGCTACGTTGCCAGTGTCATTACTTAATTTACACAGCTCGTAGTTGCAAATTTTTGGAAATACTCGAGGAAACAGTAGGGTGTGAGAAAAATCCAGAAACGACGAAAGGGAAAAGCGAAAGTACAGTTATACGTCCGATAGTGGAGACGTCTCATTATGTCCTCGAACCCAAGATCACGCCAAATTTAGTCTTTCGTTTCGGGCCCCGTTAAAACGTCGTGTCGAGCATAGAAAAGCACCCCTGGCGCTCGATTCACCGCGCCGCCTCCTTTTCCGTGTATACAAATTTTTGCTCTTTTGGCCACATAACCCACATTTCAATGGTGCAGGGACGACCGCAACCCGTTATTTGCGATTTTTCCCGTGGCCATCGGCCAACGACAGATGAATGCCCCGTGCATTTGCATCTGCCTCGGGGACCCACGAGAACGATACACAAACCATGTAACGGTACGTCGATGCAAACCATTCGTGATGATTTGCCGTGGAAACGTCTCAATTCACGCACCTCTGAAATCGTTTAAATTGCCCCGTTGCGGGCGATCCGTTTCTCGGTAAAAATCTATGGACGAACGCGACAAAGATTTTCGTGTCATCTCGCTGATAGAGTAGGCCCCGAGACTCCAATTTATTTCGTCTTAAAACTCTGCAGGGTGAAAGAGGGGGTTGACAACGATCAATTTCCATGTAAAACCAACTAGTCGAACGGTCGACGAAAACGGTGAATATAGGAAACACTATTTTGTCAAGTTTGAATAAAATTCGTTTTCGAATAAACGGTATAAAGTTACGTTAAGATGGCCGGGGAATGATTTATTGCTTCTGGAAATAATGCTGGAATTTACTGCCACAGGCTTCGGTCGTTACTAAATTTATAACGTTTTCGTGATGGGTACGCGGTAGCCCTTTTCGGCGCAAGTTTAAATCGCTTCTATAGAAAGAAGAACAAAATAAGATGATTAGAATCGAACAGTACTTCGTGAGGCGAACTATGACGAATAATAAATCAGAAAAAATTCAATTCGTGTTCAATGGAGAGGATAGACCAGAAACGTGTCGAGTGAAAAATGTCCTGGGTCAAAGTGTAGCTCGAAATTCGTGGCCTACGTGAGTTCCGGTTGTGACTTTAGTGATCGCTCGCGGGCTTGTCGACGCAATCGTCAAATTATCGGTGATTTTAGTCCGGTTGTTTGCGCGGAACGTTAGATAACGCAAATGACTAATAGAAAGTGACATAGTTTTGAACGAATCGTCGATTTTCTCGATATCGAAAACCCTCTTGTCCGATAGCGATAATGTTTCGAGGAATCGGATTCGCGCGATGTTTGATATTCAAAGTTTGCCCAGCGTTAAATAATCTCGACCTGGCTGTTGATTTCTGAATGGTCGAAGGATCCATGATCAGTGTTGAATAAAAAAAGAGTGCATTTGAATCAAAAGAAATCACATTTGATCGGAATAATATCGAAAATACTGTAACAAGGGTAATCGTAAAGCGTGAATGGACATTGTGTGGCGTTCGTTGAAAGGGGGAATGGTTTCTTACGAAAAAGGCATACTGCCCGGACAAAGTTGGCAGGTAGAAGGTATAGTTTCCCTATAACGTGCAATATAACGATTCGCAGTTCGACCGAACCGTCCACTAATCGTGACAAATGTTTCGGACTTGTCCTCCCCCAGCCATGAACATAACATCGCATAAAGCCAGAGGCAATATGCTGGATACAAACTCATTATGGGTTACTATGGAACCATGCTATTTAACGAAGAAACTCTTCTTCCAACGCAACAATGCGTCAACGTGGGTTCAAAAATAAATAAACGTCGACATCGATCGTTTACCTAACTCGAAACTTTTCGAACAAAATTATGTAATTCCGCTAACAGTAATATTATTGGTCTCTGAATTTGCACCCGTTATATAATGTCAAAATGTACAGCGAGTCCGAAAATAATTTATGCGTCGAAGGTTTCGCGTTAGCTCGTCTCTGGACGGGCATTAGCCCTTTTGATAGAATTCGACACCGAGGCTGTCCAGAGTGTTTAGAAAAAAGTAACATAATGGCTGGAGACGCATTAAGACGTTCGAGGCAATTACTTTTCGATTTATCTTACGGTCGGACCACCGGCCAAGTTTTGCCAACAGACTTTCGAGATTTGCTTATTTCCGGTCCTCGCGCACGCCTCCTATCCCTGCGGGAAACCCCTTTCTTTCTCTGGACGCTTTCGCGTTTCGTTATGTCGCAGGACACGCCCTGGGGGCCGATCTTCGTGAACGTATTTCGTTCCTTGACCGAGTGATCTCCATTCAATGGCGACTCTGGCCGAATACCTTTCCGTATAAACAACTTGCCCGATACGTCTTGTTTGCCACAAAGATGATTCGGGTCCCACGAAAAGCGTGAGAAAACCGAGTGCTTTGTGTCGACAGCAGACCACGACTTCCAGAGAATAAGTATGCTCCGATCTCCAAAGTAGAAGCAAATCAATTAATGGAAAATGTTTTTTTTTTGCAACCCTTTCGGTATGACTCGAGGCCTCCATCTTGGAGGACGCAATGTATTGTTATCAAAGGCGTGTGCAGGGTCGCGTAAAGATCCATCGATCGCAAAACTCCAGCCTCCCCGGGAACGGCGAAACCTGGTAAACCGAAACTAGAAAAGCCGTTTCGGCAAACGTAGCAAACCGAGGACAAAACTTTCGAGAGCAGATCGCTCGGTGTCCGATTACTAAGCCGCACGGCAAAGAGTTGAGAATCTCGACAGAGGCCAAAAGCGTTTACGCGCCATTTGTTTGAGAGGCCTTCGAGAGGAGTGACACGGTCGCTGGAAGATCTCTGCGTTCTGTGCCCTCCTGTCCGGCTTTGTCGTCGCCCTCGAACTATTTCCACGTTATTCTCTTTCGAGGTTTCTTTCTTCCTACGAAACCAGCTTCCCTCCCGCGACGTTCCTGAAAACATCCACAGGCCTCAGTCTCTGCTCTTATTTCAATAACTTTACGCAAATGCATATCGATTAAAAGTATTTTTCTTACCAAAAGTCTCTTCTAAATTTTTTTACTTACATTTTTCTTTAGAAGAAATTGACTATTTTGACTAGTAAAATGCGAGTTACGAGCGAGCACGGTTTATCAGGACGAAACGTGTATCGACAAAGAGACCGTGATTATTGCGGAAAACCGTAATAAAGCAACCGGTATTATATAAAGGGCAAAGAGGTCGTAAATGGGAATGTCGCGTTCTTCCTGAAATCTCCGAGTCAGGTACACGCTTGTCCAGCAGCGCAATAAAAGTAGCTGGATTTTCTAGCGAACTTTTTCCATGCCAGTTAAAAACGTCGTCCGAGAATACCGTCGTTTGTTTTTATTGTACGTTTACAACGGATGGAACGGGGACCAGAGGATCGGCTGGATTAAGGAAAACTCGATTATAGCGAAACGGATTAACTTCGCCTGACTTCGGGAACAGTTTAAATTAGTTAACGACCATTGTCGGCCAACGCGTGAAAACTCTACATTTCGCTTACCCTTGGACTCCTTTTTTTACGATCGACAATTTTTCCCCCCAAATTCTGCAATAACACCATTTAACCTTTGTCTAAGAACGACCGAAAGAAGCGCAACGGGAAAACTTAATAACCTCGAGTCCGTCCTGCGCAAGCCTTTTGATAGCAATCGCTACGATCGTCCCTTCCGCGGGTTCTCAATTCGCTTTTACCCTGTCTCGTTTTCCTCCTAATTCCAAATTACAAAACTAAATGTTACGTTTCGAATTTCCGTGCTACAAACTGTAATCAAAAATGGTGGATACCTTTCTACGAGGTACTCGTCGAACATCTGCTGATTAATCCTTTCGAAAAAGTTTAATTGGCCCGCCTAACATTTTGTAAATTGTACACACGCCCCAGCTGTTTTGCGCGCGTTAATTGAAACGTGAACGTTGCGTTCGAGGATCCAGTCGACCAGGTTGAGAGCCAGCCTTTTCAAAACATCGAGATATTGGTCAGCGTGTCATATGGTCAATAGCCAGTGGCCGCGTGGGTGGATGCAGGGTGCAGATGCTGGAAGGCCCGCGGCCAACCCTTCCGTAATAATGTCCAAAGAAGGGGGCTGCGCCCGGGACCCTTTCCGCATTGTGACATCCCGATATACCGGGGCAACAATGCGTCTGCGTCTCCTCTCGGGATGACGATCCAGCTAACGGTAAACGCGCGGTGGGGATCGACAGCCACCTCGTCCGAAATGTGTGTCAAAAGGCCGCAATTTGTGGGCCGAACAGATCCGGAAAGCGTGACCTCGCCAAACCCTTCCATCGATCGAATTCACGACGATACACGGACAATTTCGATTACCGTATTTTGTTTAAGAAAGTACGGATCTCGCGAAATTGCCAAACTAATGCCACGAGGGCTGCAACAACCTACAGCACTTTACTTTTAAGCTTAAAGTAAACTCAATATTTCGAACGTTTTATTTCCCGATTTTTACACAACATTACAACCATCTCCACGCGTATACTCTTTCACGTTTTCTTAACTGGATGCGGCAAATCGTATTTCCCTCGAACGCATTTTATCTTGACACCGGGAGTATCTTGCAGCCTTCCCACCTTGCACAGCACAACGTTGTGTTCTTGGAGATTGTGGCCGACTTCTGTAACGCGGAACGAGGCAAATATCAACTGTATCGCGATTATCCTTCTGGTATACTTACTGGGAACGTAGGCGATCATCTCCTTGCCGGTCGAAAGCCGCACCATAACGCACTTTCGATTCGCTGAATTCGGTTTCTTTGGTTTTTTAATCAGCGTCTTCAGAACCACGCCTTTCGCGAACGGTTTCCCATCCAGTGGATTTTTCTTCTTATTAAACACTTTGTAGGGTCTGCCGAGCCTGTGCATCCTTTGCAACGATGATCCCAGTCTTATCTGTTCGAATCCTGGGGCAAGAAAACAATTCAAAGATGCAAGAAATTAACGCTCGTTTTCAATCTCCGCTCTATGCAATTAGACGCATTATTAAAAGACTTCGATCTCTTTGTGCGAACGTATACGGATAAAATAATTTTTAGACACACGGTATTCCGCAAAGGGTTAATACGTTTATTCCACACATTTACAAACGTGAATGCCGCTCGAAACTCGATACAATTTTCGTAACAATAAAACCTTCTTTCCTAAACAATAAGCTATTCCGACAATATACCTGCCGTGCTTAATTATACAAAAGCTTACGGTCTCGACGACATTTCCTGCCCCGAAAGCCGTTAAAATCCTAAACTCCGAGAAATCGATTTTTTTCGACGATCCCGACGCGTTGCAGGACTAGCATTCCCTGCGGGTGATCTTTTTTTTATTAATTCTCAATTATCGCGAAGAACTCCGTACCGACTTTCGAAGGGGATCGTCGTTCGAGCAGCTCCCCGAAGACGTCGATTCAATTTTCATCGCGGGAAGATTGCGCGAACAACGCGACAAAGAGACTCGGGAAACTCGTGGAGGAGCCAGATAGAGAGGCAGAGAGAGAGTCCCCGAGGATCAACGCGTCCTAGTCAAGGGCATTGTGAAAATGGAAGACCCACTGCGCGGTAACGGTACCGGGAAACTGAAAACTCTTTCGCAAATAATCTTACGAGCCTAAGAAAAGAGGGTCTACGACGACGGAATATCAAATATGACGGACGCCTGACATCTGCAAGCCGCTCGACGAAAGCAGTCCTTTCTCGCTCGAGCGTGCATAAGCTTATTAAGCAACATTGTTACGGGGCTTGGTCCATCCAACCTTGCAACGAACGTTCGGTCCGTGAGGTCGCTGAGACTCGAACTCAACGCCGTGCGACCGCCATTTGCAAAACAGCGCAACGGAGAAAACTGATTGAGAACTCTGATTACTAGAATTCGTACGAATACAGAGAATGACGATAAAAATTTCCTAATTTCCTAATTACTTAACTCGACGCCGTTCGACCGCCATTTGCAAAACAGCGCAACGGAGAAAACTGATTGAGAACTCTGATTACTAGAATTCGTACGAATACAGAGAATGACGATAAAAATTTCCTAATTTCCTAATTACTTAACTCGACGCCGTTCGACCGCCATTTGCAAAACAGCGCAACGGAGGAGACTGATTAAGAACTTTGATTACTAGAATTCGTACGAATACAGAGAATGACGATAAAAATTTCCTAATTTCCTAATTACTTAACTCGACGATGTTCGACCGCCATTTGCAAAACAGCGCAACGGAGGAGACTGATTGAGAACTCTGATTACTAGAATTCGTACGAATACAAAGAATGACGATAAAAATTTCCTAATTTCCTAATTACTTAACTCGACGCCGTTCGACCGCCATTTGCAAAACAGCGCAACGGAGGAGACTGATTAAGAACTTTGATTACTAGAATTCGTACGAATACAGAGAATGACGATAACAATTTCCTAATTTCCTAATTACTTAACTCGACGCCGTTCGACCGCCATTTGCAAAACAGCGCAACGGAGGAGACTGATTGAGAACTCTGATTACTAGAATTCGTACGAATACAGAGAATGACGATAAAAATTTCCTAATTTCCTAATTACTTAACTCGACGCCGTTCGACCGCCATTTGCAAAACAGCGCAACGGAGAAAACTGATTGAGAACTCTGATTACTAGAATTCGTACGAATACAGAGAATGACGATAAAAATTTCCTAATTTCCTAATTACTTAACTCGACGCCGTTCGACCGCCATTTGCAAAACAGCGCAACGGAGGAGACTGATTAAGAACTTTGATTACTAGAATTCGTACGAATACAGAGAATGACGATAAAAATTTCCTAATTTCCTAATTACTTAACTCGACGATGTTCGACCGCCATTTGCAAAACAGCGCAACGGAGGAGACTGATTGAGAACTCTGATTACTAGAATTCGTACGAATACAAAGAATGACGATAAAAATTTCCTAATTTCCTAATTACTTAACTCGACGCCGTTCGACCGCCATTTGCAAAACAGCGCAACGGAGGAGACTGATTAAGAACTTTGATTACTAGAATTCGTACGAATACAGAGAATGACGATAACAATTTCCTAATTTCCTAATTACTTAACTCGACGCCGTTCGACCGCCATTTGCAAAACAGCGCAACGGAGGAGACTGATTGAGAACATTGATTACTAGAATTCGTACGAATACAGAGAATGACGATAAAAATTTCCTAATTTCCTAATTACTAACTCGACGCCGTTCGACCGCCATTTGCAAAACAGCGCAACGGAGAAAACTGATTGAGAACTCTGATTACTAGAATTCGTACGAATACAGAGAATGACGATAAAAATTTCCTAATTTCCTAATTACTTAACTCGACGCCGTTCGACCGCCATTTGCAAAACAGCGCAACGGAGGAAACTGATTAAGAACTTTGATTACTAGAATTCGTACGAATACAGAGAATGACGATAAAAATTTCCTAATTTCCTAATTACTTAACTCGACGCCGTTCGACCGCCATTTGCAAAACAGCGCAACGGAGGAGACTGATTAAGAACTTTGATTACTAGAATTCGTACGAATACAGAGAATGACGATAAAAATTTCCTAATTTCCTAATTACTTAACTCGACGATGTTCGACCGCCATTTGCAAAACAGCGCAACGGAGGAGACTGATTGAGAACTCTGATTACTAGAATTCGTACGAATACAAGGAATGACGATAAAAATTTCCTAATTTCCTAATTACTTAACTCGACGCCGTTCGACCGCCATTTGCAAAACAGCGCAACGGAGGAGACTGATTAAGAACTTTGATTACTAGAATTCGTACGAATACAGAGAATGACGATAAAAATTTCCTAATTTCCTAATTACTTAACTCGACGCCGTTCGACCGCCATTTGCAAAACAGCGCAACGGAGGAGACTGATTGAGAACATTGATTACTAGAATTCGTACGAATACAGAGAATGACGATAAAAATTTCCTAATTTCCTAATTACTAACTCGACGCCGTTCGACCGCCATTTGCAAAACAGCGCAACGGAGAAAACTGATTGAGAACTCTGATTACTAGAATTCGTACGAATACAGAGAATGACGATAAAAATTTCCTAATTTCCTAATTACTTAACTCGACGATGTTCGACCGCCATTTGCAAAACAGCGCAACGGAGGAGACTGATTGAGAACTTTGATTACTAGAATTCGTACGAATACAGAGAATGACGATAAAAATTTCCTAATTTCCTAATTACTTAACTCGACGCCGTTCGACCGCCATTTGCAAAACAGCGCAACGGAGGAGACTGATTGAGAACATTGATTACTAGAATTCGTACGAATACAGAGAATGACGATAAAAATTTCCTAATTTCCTAATTACTTAACTCGACGATGTTCGACCGCCATTTGCAAAACAGCGCAACGGAGGAGACTGATTGAGAACTCTGATTACTAGAATTCGTACGAATACAAAGAATGACGATAAAAATTTCCTAATTTCCTAATTACTTAACTCGACGCCGTTCGACCGCCATTTGCAAAACAGCGCAACGGAGGAGACTGATTAAGAACTTTGATTACTAGAATTCGTACGAATACAGAGAATGACGATAAAAATTTCCTAATTTCCTAATTACTTAACTCGACGCCGTTCGACCGCCATTTGCAAAACAGCGCAACGGAGGAGACTGATTGAGAACATTGATTACTAGAATTCGTACGAATACAGAGAATGACGATAAAAATTTCCTAATTTCCTAATTACTTAACTCGACGCCGTTCGACCGCCATTTGCAAAACAGCGCAACGGAGGAGACTGATTGAGAACATTGATTACTAGAATTCGTACGAATACAGAGAATGACGATAAAAATTTCCTAATTTCCTAATTACTTAACTCGACGCCGTTCGACCGCCATTTGCAAAACAGCGCAACGGAGGAGACTGATTGAGAACATTGATTACTAGAATTCGTACGAATACAGAGAATGACGATAAAAATTTCCTAATTTCCTAATTACTTAACTCGACGCCGTTCGACCGCCATTTGCAAAACAGCGCAACGGAGGAGACTGATTAAGAACTTTGATTACTAGAATTCGTACGAATACAGAGAATGACGATAAAAATTTCCTAATTTCCTAATTACTTAACTCGACGATGTTCGACCGCCATTTGCAAAACAGCGCAACGGAGGAGACTGATTGAGAACTTTGATTACTAGAATTCGTACGAATACAGAGAATGACGATAAAAATTTCCTAATTTCCTAATTACTTAACTCGACGCCGTTCGACCGCCATTTGCAAAACAGCGCAACGGAGGAGACTGATTAAGAACTTTGATTACTAGAATTCGTACGAATACAGAGAATGACGATAAAAATTTCCTAATTTCCTAATTACTTAACTCGACGCCGTTCGACCGCCATTTGCAAAACAGCGCAACGGAGGAGACTGATTGAGAACATTGATTACTAGAATTCGTACGAATACAGAGAATGACGATAAAAATTTCCTAATTTCCTAATTACTTAACTCGACGCCGTTCGACCGCCATTTGCAAAACAGCGCAACGGAGGAGACTGATTGAGAACATTGATTACTAGAATTCGTACGAATACAGAGAATGACGATAAAAATTTCCTAATTTCCTAATTACTTAACTCGACGCCGTTCGACCGCCATTTGCAAAACAGCGCAACGGAGGAGACTGATTAAGAACTTTGATTACTAGAATTCGTACGAATACAGAGAATGACGATAAAAATTTCCTAATTTCCTAATTACTTAACTCGACGATGTTCGACCGCCATTTGCAAAACAGCGCAACGGAGGAGACTGATTGAGAACTTTGATTACTAGAATTCGTACGAATACAGAGAATGACGATAAAAATTTCCTAATTTCCTAATTACTTAACTCGACGCCGTTCGACCGCCATTTGCAAAACAGCGCAACGGAGGAGACTGATTAAGAACTTTGATTACTAGAATTCGTACGAATACAGAGAATGACGATAAAAATTTCCTAATTTCCTAATTACTTAACTCGACGCCGTTCGACCGCCATTTGCAAAACAGCGCAACGGAGGAGACTGATTGAGAACATTGATTACTAGAATTCGTACGAATACAGAGAATGACGATAAAAATTTCCTAATTTCCTAATTACTTAACTCGACGCCGTTCGACCGCCATTTGCAAAACAGCGCAACGGAGGAGACTGATTGAGAACATTGATTACTAGAATTCGTACGAATACAGAGAATGACGATAAAAATTTCCTAATATCCTAATGTCGCTTTAAACCTTCTAAAAATCCGCGCGTCGAATGAGATTCGTGACCCAAGAGGGGTGGGTTCGTTGAATATAAGTGAAACGTCGAGGATGACGGGACAATTTCGTGATATTCTCCGTGGTCGTGACAGTCGATGATTTTTCCATGGTCTCTTGGCCGGGACTGTACCATTGTTGTTCATTTCGAGATCTGGCTGACCACCGTCCGTCAATACGACAGATGTCCAAGGCTGCCACTGCTAATCCGACCTAACTCGGACTTAACTAAGCCAAGAGACCAGCAGAACCTATTATGCACGGAAGGCAACCCCTTTTTCCCCAAGATCAATGCGCAAGATTACATTGCGAAAATTTTCGACGTCGCGGTTACGCCTTTGTCGCATCCGCGCAGCCAAGATCCCGGTCCAGGTAAAACGGCTTATCTCCGGGTTACGAACCCCGCGTAACCTGCGAAATATTCGAAATTTTGCGTAATTAGAAACTACTCGGGCACGATCGCGCCACGCTCGAAAGTGTTATAAATTTTGTTTTTTAATGGAAACCTATACTTTACTTTTAATAAAATTGTAAGAGATTCTGTCCGTATCTGGGCACCCTCATTAGATTTTAGATACAACGATCGAACGATTGTCGTAGTGCTCCTCTTGGGTAGGTTAGCGATAAATGGGAAAATTCGAGTCCTTCGCAGGCTGTACCCATCGCAGATCGTTTCTGACAACTGGTCAACCACAAATGGACACGTCACCCCCTTCATTTCCCAGCGATTTTCGGTATTGGCCACCGAGGACACAGCTCTCCCCATTCGTGTCCTTTCTTGCGGAGTAGCCGGATCCCTTTTTGCATTTCGAGATCTCTTTTCGTGGGGATCAAAGAGGTAGAGACTGCGTGCGCTTTTGCGAGCCACGCGCATTTTCGCGAAGAATAATGCCGGAAAGCCGTGGTCCCTTTTTAGCTCGACCACCCCTTTTGCCGCATTTACTCCAACAGAGATACAGATCCGTCCAAAAGGCTTACGGAAACTCGAGATGTCACTCGAATTCCCAAGGCATTGTACCGCCTTGTTACACTTGTGGGAAACGCAAACAACGACCATGAAATTTCGCACGATTTCACGTAAATGGGGTCACCGTGGTTTACGGAAAGCAGAGTACCGGTTTTTTTTCGAAATTTTAGACATTGTGTTTCGACCACTACCCCAACCCTCTTAGAATTTTAAAAACTATTTCCTTTGTGTTTTGACCATTGCATAATCGAAGAATGAAATCTTGTTCAGTGGTAAGTATATTCCAGAGACAAATGTACCGCTTTAATTTATACTATGTTAAAACATTACCTTGTATTATGCTTCCAATGCTTGACTTGGCATTATTCAATAGGTTGCCTGTTGAGGAAAACAGAAAGTTTTACTTCTTAGACAAATTATTTAATTCATAAACTGTAACATATTTAATTTCAAGATTAAAATAAATACCTTGAATGTCAGGATTCGCACATAGTCTTGTTAACTGTGGCCTGATGCCTGCAACAGACGAACACATTGTTGATTGTAAATATATACACATATACAGTAAGTAGTGGTAATTCATTAAATATTTAATGGTAGAGAAAATTTCTGTAAAGGTAAGGTAAGGTGTTAAAACTAACCTAACATATACTAGCACGATTTTCAAATAAAATTAACTGCATTTGCGTAACAACAAAAGGCAAATGACTCAGAGTAATCGTTGCTACGTATACTAAGTTCTAAATATATGCAAAAGTGTGAAATATCATTCGTAAAAGCAAAAATGTTGGTAAGTTATTTACAAAGAGGTTATGTTTTTGAGGTTAGATACAGAAATGTACAAATAAATATAACAGTATACCTCCGATAGAATTTTGTAGGCAGGACCTAGCAATGTTCACTACACTCTTAGTTAGAATGTTCATGACTGACGCGATTAAATTGTTTTTCGATAATTATCCACGTTTAAAGAACTGTGCACCACCATAACAATGCTTTACCATAATCGGAAGAAATCTGAAGTACCGACTGGTATCAAACTCTTGATAAGTTACTCGCAATCGTAACCCTGAACAAGGTGAAAATTAAAATTGATACGAAAAGACAATAAGTGCAATATTTATTCTACATCTCGTCTATGAATAATTAAAACTAATTTTTTAAAATAGGCATCTTTGACGAGAGAACAGAAAATTTGTCGAGAAATTATACCATCCTTCACTAGATAGCACTACTAACCTCGTCAGTGTAACGGAAGAATTCCTTCGTTCTAAATATTAAAGAATTTTTTTTCTCGAAAGTGGGTAGAATTTCGGGGATATGTCTATTCACCAAAAATGAGTGCAATTGACCCCCGCACCCGAAAATAATTTTTCCAGAACGATTTGAAACTTTTCAATTTCGTCGAAAAATTTGTCCATCTTCCCGAATTTTTTTCTCGAAAATGCATAGGATTTTGGAGGTATGTCTATTGACCAAAAATGATTATAATTGACTCCTGTAATCGAAAATAATTTTTTCAGAACGGTTTGACATCTTTTAATTTCATCAAAAAATTTCTCCAGCTACTCGAATTTTTTTCTCGAAAATGCGTAGGATTTTTTAGGTATGTCTATTGACCAAAAATGATTATAATTGACTCCTGTAATCGAAAATAATTTTTCCAAAACGGTTCGAAATTTTTTAATTTCGTCCTAAAATTTCTCCACCTACTCGAATTTTTTTCTCGAAAATGCGTAGGAATTCGGGGGTATGTCTATTCACCAAAAATGATTGTGATTGACCCCCGCACCCGAAAATAATTTTTCCAGAATGATTTGAAATTTTTTAATTTCGTCCAAAAATTTCTCCACCTTCTCGAATTTTTTTCTCGAAAGTGTGTAAGATTTCGGGGGTATGTCTGTTCACTAAAAATGATTGTAATGGACCCCTGAAATCGAAAATAATTTTTCCAGAACGATTTGAAACTTTTCAATTTCGCCGAAAAATTTGTCCACCTTCTCGAATTTTTTTCTCGGAAATCTGTAGGATTTCGGGGGTATGTCTATTCACCAAAAATTATTGTAATTAACCCCTGAAACCGGAAATAATTTTTTCAAGACGATCTGAAATTTTTTAATTTTGTCGAAAAATTTCTCCACCTACCCCCTGTCGATTTTTCTAAAAAATCTGTTGTTGATTTTTAGTAAGTTTGTTCGACGCTCTAGGGGAATGTTGTTGAATACTTTTTCGTAGGTATTCATGAAATAATACATTCACTATGGTAGAACCTTTGGAATCAGCTACTTCTTCCTCGAATCCCCGAAGCTCTACGAAGCGCCAGACGGCGATGAAGCGAATCGACGGTTCGTAGGACGACGAGGAAATCGAGGACCCGAATCTAAATAAATCGATCAGTAAATAGATCGAGCCTGCTTCCTCCTACTGTTTTGCGATTGGTTAGCAGGGGGTGCAGGGAACGGGGATGCTGGGGGGAGAAGGGGCCGTGTATTTGTGGCGTTCGAGTCGGCAGCTGCGATTTGCCTTCTGGCAAACTTTATCGTGACACCGTTTTGTGCGTGTTCGAGAGTTGGCCGGTTCGTTCGTTCGTTCGATCGGTCGGTTCCGCCGTGATCGATCGGTCGGCTTTTGTGCTCTCGATGAATCCAGTGATATAGCAATTTACCCTGTGCATAGTGGTGCATCGTTCCTGCGACGATCCCAAACCGCGAAACTTACTGGCAAGTAACGGAGTTAGAGGCGAATCGTTGTGTAAATTCATCGCGCCGCCTAGACTATATTCGTTTCGGTCGACGCGTGCGGCCACTTCCGCGTACATACTACGAATTCCTCGCGGCGGACACTGCGTTCCGACGTTTCGATTTTTTTTTTTTTTTTTTTTCATTTCGATTTTACCTCGTATTTCGCACCACCGGAAGACGAACGTTCGATCGCACGCGCTGGAATCGAAACGACCCCGGAAATCCTCGATCGTGACCGATCGATCTACGTGGCCCACGGTTCGTTGTTGGTTTTAATCGGTATTACGTAACGAGGGTGACTTTTAGTATTCACGTGCAATTTCCTTCTATTTTACAAATTATGGTTTCTGAGTATTTTTTCAATGTCAATGTCATTATCGATTCTGTTGGTTTTCTTCTTTCGTGCGTCCACCGCCGGAAACCGGAAGAATAAATTAACGAACGACCGTGAGCTCGCGCGCGAACGATCGTGCGCCAAGTTCCGGAGTCTTTCAGATTCGAATTGCATGCGGTTCCGGTCGACGCGCGCACTCGGTGTTGGGCAAAATGCAATTCAATTGACAATTGACAATTAACATTGAAATCGTCTCGCTCGTTGATCGTAATCGACAACGAGACTTTTTAATTGTTTTCAAGTTGCCATTAACTAAATAGATTAATGCCCAACACTGCGCGTCAACGCGATCGACGAAGCAGCTCGAGGAAATTCAACCTCGCCGAACTAATTCTGTTTGTTTCGTGTTACGTAATCGATCGAACCTAAGCGGAAATCCCTTTCGGGATTGATCTTTCGAACGTGGAGGTCACGGCGATTTCAACGTGATCGCGAACGCACGATTTTCAGATGTAGATCAACATGGCTGTCAACATAAAATTCACAAAATTCGACAACACACCATGGGGATTTCGATTGGCCGGTGGAAGCGATTTTCCACAGCCACTGACTGTCATCAGAGTACGTATCCTTTGTTTTCGCTACTGTTATTATACCATTAGAGCACGCTATTGTTAATGCACACGGTTCTTCAAAATTTATCTTGCAAATTTGTTATCTTTACTTGCAAAACACACTCATGAGATTGGTATAGAAATATCTGGGATACTCTGCGTATCCTTTTATCGACGAAGAAGTCAAAGATTAAATGGATTTGCCATAATTTCGTTTGTAGAAGAAATTAATAAAAGTTTGGTTTTACATCCGTATCAAAGTTAATTTAAACAATTTGATACCGATTTCGTGTCCTCGTGAACGACTATGCAAATGCATCGATGCACGAACGGTTGCATACTCGTAGGAATATACATACTCGTTTACATCGTCGATAAGGTAGGAATGCTTGGATCATTTTGAATGATCTCTACTTCTACGTTATCGACGCTTAGTGTGAACAGGGCGGTAAATACAGTTTTCTCGCAAACTGCTGAGGATATCGTCTAAATTCTTTTGACGGGATGGACCACCCTCGTTTCTCGTAAAATTTCAAAAAAAGTATGACAGTTTTTGGAATTTTAAAAAGCATTACCAAAGACAGGCAACATTTTCTCATTTCGTTGGCAAGCTTTTTGGTACAACAGAGGTCATTAATGTACCCAGTAAATATAAAAAAAATTTGTATGATGAAACATCATAGGCAAAAATATCCCACGACAAATTAATCACAGACGAAAGTATGACACATCATCAATTTGGGGGGAGGGGGTTAATGAGTCAAGTGTAGATATATTGTGAGTTCCTCCCCCGCTCACGCTTTCGCTTGATAATACACGCACATATTGTTATAATAAAAAGCATTCGCTAACGATGAACAGTGAACTGAAAATAGTAAAGCTATTACACGTTCGCTAATTAAATTAACAAAAATATAATTAGAAATAACCGTGATATTCGTCATGAGATATTTTTGCCCGCGATATTATGTCACGAGACGATGACTGATGTTTTGACGTGTGTTATTTTCTCGTGCACCGGTGTACTTATCTTCTTTTTAAAGAAATTCAAACGCAAATATTTGTCGTACGATATAACGACCGTCTAAATATTCTCGATAAATATACGAAGACTGAAACATATTTTTGCAAGTTATTGCCGCGCATACATTAAATATACTACTGCAAATTGGGTCTTCGTTGCTACGATAAGGAAATACGCAGAAGCAGTCGGTTATAAATAGCAGTGGCTGAATAGCGAGATACCAAAATGTCTCGGACCGCAGAGGGTTGAAAAAACCTATAAATTTAAAGTTTACAAACTCACACGCTTCTAGGAGACGATCTCTAGGTTCTAATTAGGGGTTTAAATATTTAGAATAGTTACACCCCTGTCATTGTCGTGTTATTCCGTGGTTGGCTGTGCCTCGAGGGTGGTTTAGAGATAGAAAAATGTGTTTCTCAGGTATCGGAGGAAAGCCTCGCAGAATGCATGGGCTTGAAGGTCGGCGACGTCGTAGTGAGACTAAACGATCAACCCATCAGCAGCTTGACCCACGGTCAGGCGCACGAGGAGCTCATGCGAGCGGGGAATAATTTCGTTTTGGGTGTGTTAAGGTAAGTTAGCGAAAAGAGAAGATTCCTAATAAAAACATTGCCTCATTTCTACGACAACGTAAAACACACACAAGCCCCGGGACATAAATAAAAACAGAGTGTAAACCCCCTGGAAAATCTAATGTAAGTTTCTCTGAAAAAATTCTATTGAAAATCGTTGGAATGAAATGTTGAAACAATTATCGAGCACATCGTCAATAACGCTTGCAATATCGTTCGACGTAATTAATTATCGGCTTTCGACACGATATCTAGAGGGCTCGTTTCGCTCGATATCGCCGCCTGGACCACCACCCCTAAAGACGCCGTCTTCCTCGGCGACTCGAGCGACGAATTCGCGTTGGTCGAGCCTGGCCTAGGACGAAAGCTTTCGTCGTCCGTCGGAAGTGACTCGGTCAAGTTAACCGTGAAAATAATCGCGTCCCAATGTCAACGACACGTTGTTGCATCGTCTCGATCCTCTTGGACCGCGAAGCTTAACTTGAACTACTTTCGACACGCGAGAATTTTATTTCGTATACGCGTCGGGCTGATTCATCGCCCGGCGACGCTTCTCGACGCCGTCGATCCATCGTTCGAACGGTCCATTAGTCGACGAAATTATTATTTTTTTTTTTCTTTTCTGGAAACGATCGTTGACGGAATCGCGCGAGCAACGCACACGGTTGTCCATGCACGTTCGCGCGCATTATAATAATATACGCCGGGGGCCAGAATATCCCGGCGTACGGGCATACGTGTGGCAACGAATTGCAACACTTATAAATAGGTGACCCAGAATGAAATCTGTTTATCATTGGTCGGCGATTTTATTGCTGGCATTTACACCGAGCGCCGCGGTTTGTTCTCCCCGATCCCTCATTACCCTTTCGCGCGCGGACCGGCTCAGAGGCGTCGGCCTTTCGGGAAACGAGTCGAAAATCGTTGCACGTTTCGCGTAAAGAAAAAAAAAAAAGAAACGCGACCGGGTCGTCACGTTCAGCCCAGAACCAGCTAATCGGCCACGGTTGTTGCGCAGACAAGAAGATCCCCTCAAGGCTTTGGAGGCGCTGTCCGAGGAGAACATCGTTCCATACAAGATCCCAGTAGGTACCACCACCAACATCGATCGACCCTTTTTTTTTAAACCCTGCGATACTGTACGCGTAGTCTCGTCGACGCTGCAACCCCGGGGAAATTGCACCCCCGGCTCGTGAAAATAAATCTATTGACAATCTAAGAGTAAACACGCTCTATGGGAATTTAAAATAGTACCACATGGTTAAAATAGATCGAACACGGATCGCTTGAATAATGATTTCCTGCGATTAATCACGATTTTGAGCGCTTATTAATGGCTTCCTGCGATAAATCGTGAGTTTTCGGCAGCAGATCGCGGTTAAGGCGAGCCGGTCGCCATTATTCAACCGATATTCGGATTCTAAATCGTCTAAAGACTAAATCGTCGCGCGGTCGGATCGAAATATGAATGGAAACAGCTTAATTATTTTTAGACGATTTATTAACGCCGTTCACTGCCCCCGGAATCGCGAAAATATTTATAACTACGATATCCGGTATAAGGAGTTTTTAAATTATCGGCGACCGGGGGATATTTATTTTCTGTTCGGCGAATTCCTGAGTCAAAACCGTCCCGACCCACATGTGGGTCAGCGGACAGTCAACGGCGTTAATTGTTGGGGAATGAATCATAACGTTTCGACTCTCGACGCGGACCCGTAGACTTATGATTAATAAGAGATATCGATCGTCGTTTCCTCGTCGTAATCGGATTGGTTAGCTCGCAGACTTGCCGCCGCTGTTCCCGGAGGAGATCTTGAAGGAGGAGACCGTGATCGAGCGGACGGAGGTGACGATCACGTACGAGGAACAGCCGCTCGAGGAGGAGGTCAAGCCAGAAGTGGAACCGCTCCCGGACAAGCCCAAAGACACGAACAGCGAGATCGTGCCCAATCAGAACCTCACCGACGACGAGATCGCGCAGCTCATTCTAGAGGAAGAGGAGCTCCTGAACGATAAAGGAGTTTTGGGGTACCGATTCGTCGTTTCTTCTTTGCACCTCGCAAAACTTTCGTCAAACATTGAAGAATTTCCTTCAAACGTTTCGTACATTTCCAAAAGAATGCTTCCAAAACGATTTTTACCTTTAGTTGGACAAAAATATGCTTCTTTATATGAGAAGTAAAAAAGGTTCAAGAGTTGCGCGTGTACTGTTCATACACGAGAAGAAGGCACAGTGTGTTTACATTCCCATTCTTGCCTCTGTTGTTGGACGAAGACGACGGCCATATTGAAATTGCATGAGACAAACTATTCACTAAAATTGCCGATTTTTGTCGCCGTTTTCGACCAATAACGATCAATACCTGTAATGGATTGGAGATGTAAACACTCTGTGCCTTTTTCTCGTGCAAGAACAACACACGTGTATACTTCTTTCCGTCCCAAAGGGATCATCCTCGTTGAATAAATTTATCTATCTCTTTACAAATATTAATTCAACTGATATATAAATTTCTCGAACATTAAAAAAGTCAACAGACACAAAGAATGTATTAGCAGCATTACTTTGAGACGAAAGTGCGAGTAACCCTGAAGGATCTCGAGTGACCATGACCATTAATAATTTTGACAAGCAATTTAAGGGAGCGCTATAATTTGTAGGACGCGCGTCTGAAATAATTGTGAGCTATAAAATGTAAAATTGTTTGCCGCGTTTCCAGGGTGAACTTCAAGAAGCTCCGTCCCCGCGTGACGTCGTTGAAGCAGTCGAAGGTGATAGAGGAGCTGCAGAATCTCGCGACGTCCGAGCCGCCGTTGGTGGAGCAGCTGAAACGCACGTCCGTGTTCCTGCAGAAGCCACAGCGGCCGATCCCGGCGCCCCGCAAGAAGCCCGAGGAACAGGAAGAGACCGAGGTCGAGTCGTACAGAGTGGTGATAAAGAAGCAGCAAAGAAGGACCATCACCGACCGGCTGCTGGAGAGCGGGCTGCTGAAACCGGAAGACGAAAAGACCCCGGAGCCCCCGACTCCCGAGGTAAACATGGCCAGTAACGAAACGCTGGCGATAGTCGAGGAGGACGATCGTTCGTCGGTCGAGGTTCCCTGCTCGCCGGAACAGGAACAGCTCGAGTATCTCGCCACGCGTCCCGAGGTGTTCGTCACGTATCTCGAGATCGACCCGAGTCGATGCTCGTCCCGCGACGGGGAGGTAGTCACGACGCCCCAGTTGTCGAAACGCAGGGAGAACGCGCCCGTGGCGCGACGACCGCCGTGCAAGCGCAGATTGAAACGGTTCTACACGAGGGCGCACTACCTACGGGGGTGCCTGTTCGGGAAGAGGGGCCACGTCGAGGCCAAGAAACCGACGAAACCGAGGTCCTCGTTCAGGGAGCGGCTCTGCCAGCCGAACGACGACCGCGATCGCGCGACACCAGCCGTCGTCCTGGCCGCGGACCAGTCCGAGAAGCAACCGCGTCGCGGGGGCGTCGAGAAATCCTCGAGGTCCAGGATGAGGGGTCGTTACCTCGAGACGTATCTGAAACGGGTGGTCGAGGGGCTGCTCGAGGGGCTGCTCGAGGGCTCGGACGGCGCCTCCTCGAGCAAGCTGTTCGATCTACTTGGCGAGAAAGAGGTCTCGTGCAGACGGACCCGTTACGCGGAGAGGATCCTCGCGAGGACCGTCCGGTTCCTGGTCGTTCGTCTGCGTTCCGACGTGTTCGCGTACCTGGAACGCTCGACGAGCGCCGCGGCGCCGTGCTCGCGGACCCGCAGGCGTCTCTACTTTAAGGGTCGTTACTTCCAGCGCGTGATCCGGAAGAACCTCGAGTGTCTGACGAATTATATCAAGGGCGTTCCGTCGCCGGTCGGCGTACGCGCCGCCAGGAGGAGGAGCTCGACGATGATCAAGACGAAGGGTCGTTACTTGGAGAGGTGCTTGATCCGTAACGGTCTGCTCGATCGTTTCCCGACGCGTCCGTCCTCAGTGGTCTCCTCCAAGCGGAAGCTGTTCGTTCGCGCTCGTTACGCGGAACGCGTCGCTAAGATGCATCTCGAGTCGCTAGGTTCGATCGTTCGTTACGTTCGTCGCCAGGTTCTCCAGAGTGTTTCCGATTCCTCGTCGAGGAGCGATCTGATTCGTTCCTCGAAAGACTTCATCAGCGCCGAGGTGTTCCATCGCGGTAGCAGGCGTCTATCGAGGTCCTCCAGAGTCACCGTGCCCCGAGAAACCTCGACGAGCCTCGCGAACCTTCTCCGCGGTTTCGTTCGCGATTTCGATTGGCTTCCGTTGATCTTCGCCCGCGGATCGAAGGACGTAGAGAAGAAGGCGGTCCAGGACGGCGATCGCGACGGTCGCCGGTTGTCGTTCGTCCCGACGATCCTCTACGAGGGCCTGACGAATCGCATAGGCGTCGATTTCACGAGACTGGTCGCGTACGCGTTCGTGCCATGCACCTCGATCATCTTATTGTACATGTACAAGTAGATCGTTCGATGGTCTATAACCGAGTATGACGCCAACATCGGACAGTACTGTTATAATGCTTACGATTATGTTTAGATTTAAAACGACGTCACATGTTCTAGGACATCCCTAACAGACGCTAGATCATCATGGGCCATCTGTAAACGTATAGAAACGAAAATGATAATGAAACAGTGTTCGTCGTAAAGTGTGTGTTCTGTATCTTCATGTCCAGTGTAACATGTAACATGTTTCTCGTGACTAGAGGCTGTTGGTACTTGTCCCTGGGGCCGTGCACAGAAAAATAATTAACTAATACTCGATTTATTTCGATCGTTGTAACGTTTTACTAAAGTAACAGCATCTACCTTAACCCCTCAGCGACGGATGACCGCGACTCTCCGTTTCCGTCACCGGAACCAGCGAGTCGCGTATTCCGATAAACTCGTTCACTAATATACATACGTCTTATTAACTCAGTTTAATATGGATTCAAGATTCTTATCTGTACGATACTTATAATAATCTTGGCGGGAGTCTGTACCGTGGTGGACCGACTCTGAGGGGTTAATCGGTACTTTATTCTCTGTTCGATCGGTACGGTGCCCCAGAAAATATATTTTAAAACTTTTATTCGGTAATTAGGACCAAATTTAATTTTCCAGCGGGGCAATCCATGGTCTTCTGCCATTATTCTTACTTCGTTCTCTGTAAAACGTGGTAATTGGACGAATCAAATTCTGAACTAGCGATTGTATTCTTTCGAAAATTCCTGAGAGTATGAATTATAGAGTTACACTTTCTTGGCAATTCAAAAGAAATTCAAGATATATTTTCGTAATCAACAAAATAGATTTCCTACTATTTCGATGAATAATTTAAAGATTCCAGAGAGCAAAGAGACCAAGATTTTCTGAGGCACCCTAACGTTCCACGAGGTAAACGAATCGTTTGTTTCGGGACGGTGTAACGCACGGCCCCGCAAGTACACGTAACCGTAGTACAATACTTATTAAAAAAGAAAAATACAAAAGTCGAAAGTGATCGTCACTAGCACGTCGAATTCATTCGCATCTAGTCTAACGAGTGTAGAGTAGAACTCTCGAATCTCGCGTTATCATGCACGCGTAGATCGATGCATGTATCGTATCTTACATATACTCTCATTGTCAATGTACGCACAAACATGGATTGTCGAGAAAAAAAAAAAGTACGTTCGAAATAAAAAGCAAATGTATCTGGATGCACCCATTGCTAGAGTCTCGATAACCCTTTAATGCCAAACAAAAAAAGAAAAAAAGAAAAAAATAATAGAAGTTGTTGGGACGCAGCTGTCTCGTCCGGAACGACGATCTATCCCGATATCCTGTCCGTTCTCCGGAAACGAACACGAGTACTAACTCTCCGTATCGAACGTAAAGTACTCGTAACGATAACGATCAACCCAAATGCGCACAGAATCCGGGATCGATGGAAATTTGAATTTTTCGAAGGTATTACACGGCCTAACCTGTTCCTACCTTCTCTAATTTTGAGATTATCAACGACGGGTACCAAAAGTCGCCATCTTCGAGTCAATCGAGTCGTTCGAATCATTGAAATCCATAATGGTCGCGAGACCAAACTCTGATAATTCACGTATAATGTTTTAAAAGAGATACATATTTAAATTATGAAAAAAATTCACGATCCAGGCCATCTGCAGAGACAATCGCAAACTTCCGCGACTAAGACCGTGAATTTATTTGCTAATTTAAACAACGTCTGAATCAGTTTGGACTTTTCCTGTAAAAGGCAGCATACTTTCTCGAGGTGTCGTCGGAGTTTGCTTTCTCAACCATCGGGAGCCTCTTCGTTTCCAAAGTGCGCGATTAAGAGGCGAGCTTAAACCGAGCCAAGAGTTGGAAGCTAGCTTGAAATCCCATCTCTATCTATAACCCGATGGACGAAAAGTTTCGTGCGGAGAGGAGAAGAAAGGGAATTCTGTGCGCATTTCAGTCCCGCTTCTTTGCACGACCAGACCAAACAGACAGTTCGCTCTGCACGATCCCCCCAATTCTGTAGCTGTTTGTCTGAATTTAGGCGACGCCGTCGGCGACCCCAGACCCCGGCTGTAGATCGGATCAAGAACGCGAGGCGGAGTCGCGTCCGGAATCGAAGGCGGAGTCCTCGAGACCGGAAGAGTCCGACACCGATCAACGACCGGAAGAGAACGTTTCCCGCGACGAGGAGACGGCCGTGGTGACGGAAACCGCGCGCGACGAGGACGCGAGCCGCGAGCATTCGACGCGGGAGACCGTTTTGAACGAGATCGAGAGAGAGATGGCGGACCTGTCGTCGAAGTTCGACAAAGAAAAGATCAGGGAGCTGGTGAACTCGGAGATCGACCTGAAGAAGCAGCTGGACAACGTACAGAGACAACTGCTGGCCCTGAAGCAGCTACCCAGCGAGATCGAGACCCACCTGAGAATCGTATCCGAGCAGCTGCAGAAGATCATGGAGCTCAGCGGCGCCCAAAATGGCGTCGTAGCCGACGACAGCGACGAGTCGCGCCGAGGTTAGGCTCCTTTAGCTTGGTCTCGATCGGTAATCCTACGGCCGGCCGCGAACATATTTTCAAATTTCACGCGTTTATGGCTTTTGAGGCGATGCCAACGCGCCGCGCAACCAGGTCAGAATTCACTCGACGCGCGTCCAAAATACGGACGCGAACAAATTGACGCGACCACCGTGCACGCTTGGCAAATTTTACTTCAGGCCCGTTCGTAGATCTTCAATAGTTTACGAATACGTCGTGACTTATTTGGTTCTATGTGTTTTCCAGTCTTAACTAGCGAACGAATTTGAACAAAGTTACAAGTTTTAGATCGTGCAGTTTATGGTCTTGGTGGTGAATGCGTTGTTACGATGTTTCAGAGGCCGAGGAGCCGAAAGAGACGGCGAAGGAATCCGAGGACGAGGATCACGAGGATCTGGAGGACACGGAGGAACAGGACGTGACCGAGTTCACCGAGGATTTCTCGTACACCGCGTACTACGACGAGCACCATCACACGCGGATGGTCGAGCAAAGCGTCGAAGAGGAGGAGGAGGACACCGAGACGCAAGAACTGGACGGAACATTGTCAGTGAAGAGCGAAGAGGGAAGCAGGGTGAAGAAGTTCGTTGTCTCTTACGAGACCAAAGTTCTAAAGTCGCCCAGCCCGGCGCCCTCCCATGGTAAATATTCATTCATTCCCTTTACCAACGAACCGACGTTGGAGGTAACTTTTATAATTCTAAAGGATCAGTTTTTCACGTAACTGTTTCGCCAAGTAACGGTAACGAAAACGAAGCGTTGTGTATTGTAGGAAGTTTCGAACCAGATCCGAATCTAGCGCCAAAAGATCAAGTTATACAGGAGTTACAGGTATTCCGGAGAGTGATGTGGAATGTATACGTTACTTGTTCCCTGGGATATGCTCCTTTTCTCGTGAATTTCGTCGTTTGGCTGAAATTTAGATGCATTTCAGGTTTTATCTCAAAGAATCCAAATTTCAGCTCGATCCAGTATGTTGGTCCAAAAAATGTCCAATTTGGCACGACCCCCTATGAAATACACATTCTCGTACGTCCTCCCCTCGCAGTGCTCCTGAAGCTGCGTTTATATCGAGCAACTATCGAGATCGATCAAAATTATTAACAAATTAATAGAGTAGAACGTTGAAAATCGTATAAAAATGGTGGTTTGAAGGAAGGTTTTTGAAAGTTGCCTGAGTGAAACGGAGCTTAAGAGAGCCGAAGCGAACGTTGAACGTCCATTAAACGTCTAGAATTTATCCGTGACATCGTACGGTAGAACGTTCGTTCGAAATTGTGTTGCCCTTCGAGTTTTAAGGTCCTTAAACTTCGCGGGAAGTGAAAGTATCCGTGTCACGCACGTTACCTGGTTATTTAGCCGCGAAGCACGTGAATCCCTGGGTAGAACCCGGGTCGCAGAACGTTAACTTCAATGGTCGAATGACGGTTTCGCGTTTTGCAGCAAAGAATGCAGCAAAGAGGGAGGAAACCTTCGCAAGATCTCTGGCCCCAGGCTAAGCAGGTCGAGCTGACTCTCGGCCGCAGATGGAGGTGTCCGAATGATTTCTTCAACGACGAAATGATCGCCGAGGTTCTATCTTCCCAGGCGGAAGTTATTCGAGGCAGAGCCCTAGGGTGAGGCTACCTTTTCTTGTCGATTCGATGGAAACAGCTTTCAATTAACTCCTCTCGCTACGAAATCATCCGCGTGCGCACCACTCATCGCATTCTCGATACGATGATTTTAACCTGTTCCGCTATAACAAACATTTACTAAATAAAATAATCCTGACGAACATTAACACGTGAGAAGTTATTGTAATACGTCCTTCAATGAATCCTAATCTTATTAATGCAAAGCTTACAGGCATTGGGTTGTAACACAATTATTTTAAATAACTTGGTAGAAGTTTGGAAAGAAGATTAAAACGAACGAAGGGTTTAGTGCCTCTGTTCTTTTTTTAATTTCCTCCTTTGCTTGATCGAACTGTTCGACTCGAAGCGATCTCGTGACCTCTTTGCTTAAAGACATTCCTAAGATTACAATTCATATTAGTCAGACGGCACAACGATGCGCCGATAATGTATGAGTAATTGAGGTTGCACGCTTCATAATGATACACATAAACGTGCATTTAAATATTTTATCTCGCTAGCTGTAAAAAATAATAATTATGGTACAACCTAATATCATAGAAAAATAAGCTACTAAAATTTTTGTAGCTGCAGTATGCGAATAATTTTTAACAAAATTCGTCCAATTAATCTAGATATTGTACGCAACGTCTCTCGCTGAATTAAAAGAAAATATTAATATTTAAGTTAACGATCCACATGTACCTAATTTAATAAAATTGGCCATCCATTTATCTTTGTGGCTCCAAAATATTGATAAGCACCGATAAATAAACGAATAGAAGTATATTCTCTGTGATCACAAACGAATTTTGCATCGCTTTCAAAAATGGCGCTTGGATTTCTTTGGACGACAGGAGCCTCTGAAAATATTTTTGCAACGCGAAACAATTTCCCTTGGACAAACACGCGCCATGCTTACTTCTTTTTGGATGTCAAATTAAACGTGACAATTTTATTTTTTATCGAAGTTTTTGAAATTATCGCGATGTAGAAAGTATATTTTGTTACTGTAGGAACATCTGAACATTTTTTAATATATACGTACTAACAAATTTAGAGATTTCGTAACACTAATGCCTTGTTTGCTTTAAGTAATAAAATAAATGAAAGATTGCAGCAATAAAATAATTAACTGGACAATTATAAAATAAGATCTAACCAACGATTGTATAACTAAAACGGTGCAACAGATTTGAAAGTTGATTTTATTCATACCGTGAGCAGCGGTATTATAGCGTACGTTAATAATCCAGAACGAAGTATGCATTGGTAATCGTCGATAATTGATTGGCGCAGAGTGAACTTCAAGAAGTACGAGAAGACGAATCTACCGAACTACGATCACTTGATGAACTCGAGCGTCTATAAGATGATTCATAAGATGGACCGGGAACCGAAGAAAGGAATTCCAGCTAGGCCCGCGAAGGTGAACGCCGCGGAGGACATCATCGAAAGGGTCGTACGTATTTCACACGATTCTACGATCATTTATCTTCGAACAAGCCTAGCAAGAAAGACCGTGATCTGAAAAAATCACTTTTCGAAAAGAATTCGATAAACAGAAACGAAATGTAAACCTTCAATTATCACGTTTCTTTCTTAAATTTCAATCATCCGTTTATTACGTACATATTAGATAAGATGTAACACATAATTAATTATTTTCTCGTAAATTTCAATACTGATTTTTATCTGTAATACCCACTATCGATAAACATTAATTTCGAGTAGTTTAATCTTCCTACTCCAAAGATTGAATATCACAGTTCTCGACAATATTCAAACGTTTCGACTCAAAATTAATATTATATAATATTATTTTTCAAATAAAGTGCAGTATTCAAAAATGGCGCCCATAGACAGGCGTCCAGCTCGCTTCCGATCGAAAGATTTACACTAAAAAACTTACTCGATTTCAATCGGAAGATTAAAAGTGGCCCTGAAATTACTCATTCGAGACCTTTGTCGCCTGTTGCAGAAATCTCCGGCGCTTAGCATGGCGGACGACAGGAGCACTCGAAGCGTCAGTCATTAAGGCCGCGGGGCATCGACGACGAAAGGAAAACAAGAATTTCTTTTCTCTCGGATGCGAGAACACGTTGAACAAACACACCGAAACGCGACTCGTCCACTTCGAAACGATTGCGAATACGTGCGCTGCGATCGAATAGTGTCGAGCATAAGTGTAATTAAGTACGTGTGCGTGTCATATATGCATGTCTCTGGCTGCGATACATTGTCAAAAAAAAAAACATTATGGAGATTAAGCGTTAATAAAAAAAAAGGATTGATTCTTTTTCGTAAAAAAAAATAAAACATTGTCGCGTTCTGTCTCGCGCCAACAAAGAGATCCTTTTGTCCGTTCGCCTGGCAATTTTGTGGCTACGATTGCTAACCTTGCAGCTGCTGTCAGCATCGGTTCTGCTTACTCCCGACACGGGTGCAGGCATTCCCATTAACCCATATACGAGCCAAAGGCATTCCAACCCGTCATTTAACGTTTCAGCCATTTTAATTTCGATAAGGAAAAATTAATTTAAAAGAAGGTGGCGTTTCAGGACTAATTTTTCTACAGTACACGCTTTTGTGGGGACAGAAATTATTGTAATAAGCTTCTCTGGTGTACATGGTGGCACCAGGAAGAACTGCTCGGTGTACCCAAGCTCTTATCGCCGGTTTAGACAGTCACATCCCCGGAGAACAATTAGAAAAGTTAAACAGAGTAATCCTAGAAGAACGACCACAAAATAGTCGCGGTTCGACGCAAAGTGGTTCTGCTCCACGACTTCTAAGGCCACCAAAGGAACATTGTCCAGAGTTAGAATGGAAAATCCTTTCGCGCCCAGCTCTCCGCTCGTTGCTCCATCCAATTTTTATCTATTCGGATTGATGCAACATAGTATGCGTAGTATGCGAGCCAAGGAATGTTGATTAAGTCTGGAAACGTGGCGGTGATTTCATTGTCCCGGAAGATTACTCATTCTATCGACTCGGAATTAGCCTATTCAGTGGCAGAAAGTCGTGAATCGTTACGTACCAGTTAGTTTCTATTCGGATGACAATCCTCGTTGCTGGTATCAGAGTAATCAATTATCTCTGAAATATGTGGTACCAAAACAAATTTTCCTCGTCGATAACGGTGATCGACAGTGAAAAAAGATACCCTCGCGTGCAAAAGAGATTCTATTATATTGCTGTCTTTTAAAGATCCTCTTCGAAACGATATATATTGTTAAGACGTTTGGAAACTCTTTATAGTAAATGAAGCGATTTGCACCCCAATTTTTTATATTCTAGGAGGGCAATAATAACGTTTAGATGCTAACATAGTAAAACTCAGCTAAACATCAAATACTGTCACTCCTATTGAATTGGGATCATCTGCTCTAAGTGCCTCCTATGTTGATGGGAAATATCGTTAATTTTTATGCCATTTTAAGGAAGTATTCTGTATTAATCTATCACTATAGATTAATTCTACATTCTCGTCTTATTTTATTTTAGTTGTAACAGTCAGAGCCTCCAGGATGACCCAATATCCCATAAAATAAAACTCGAATCCGTCTTCGAAGGCTCCAAAGCAAAATCTCGCAGAAAGCCAGCGTTCTTCGGGGTCCAAGAGGCGAAAGCCCCCGTAATCGCGTCGCGAGTCTCGTGAGAAACTGTTCGTAGAGGAGATAAGCCAAGTTTCATCTGGGTCACGTCTCGATCGTAGCGTCCTGACGCAACCGTCGCGTCGGTTCGCGATCCACGCAAGAATCTTTTTCGCGGAATCGGATATCCGAGAACGGATCTGATGAGTCGCGCTCATACTTTCACCTTTCCGTAGTTTCCGACTCTCATCGTCGTACTCCGGTGCGTCCTGCGCGACGGCGTGCGTGCGCGGATAGGCTGAGTCACTTCTGCCTCGGCTGTTCCTTCTCCGTCCAGCTCGCGGCGGTCGCCTCGTGCTCTCGGGGTCCGAGAACGTGACGTCGGTCCCGAGCAATTTATGTAAAGCATTCTAGGCATGATTCACGAACTAGTTCGCGCCCTCGTGACCGCCACCGGCGCTGAAAATGCAGCCAAGCCGCTCGACACCACGAAAATGCTCATCCGAATCGCCTCGCGATCATTTTCCGTGAAAAATCCACCTCGACGGGTTTCAGGATTGAAACAAAAGATCGTAGAGGCCTCTGGAAAGCCAAATGGAAGCTTCACGTATCTCGTATGAAGAACCTGCGATGTTCAGTTTATGGAAAGTGCTCCGAGCAGACGATCCGTCGTAGGGTTTCTCAATCTCCGAGACATTCCAAGTATTTGGTCGGATTCGTTGGCAGCCGTGCACCGAGGTATTTCAACACCGATGTGTGCCGAATAAACAAATGTTTTCGAGTGGCCCCAAAAATTAAAGTCCAACTGTTCCTGCGAACCAACGTTCGCGGCTTCGAACCCTTGGATCCTGCATTACGGACGCGATCAATTGGCTCTCCGTTTAATAAAGACGTTATCGATGGATTGATTTTATCGGGTCGTTGATTCGCGCTCGACCGACTGGCACAGCGAAGCAAAGGGAGAAACCACGGAGTGCCCGTTAGCCGATCGATCGTCCCTCTGGCTTCGCGAATGAATTATGGCAAAGAGAACTGCATGGGCGGACGGTGCACCGAGCAAGGTGCTTCTCGCCAGGGTCGAGACACCGGGAGCAACGACAGAAGGTGGAGTGGTAAGAATCAGCACCGCTCGACGAGGTGAGCCTCGATGGAAGGAAAAGGACGGGACGCAGATGTCGAGAATGCCATCCTGATACCGCATCCTCCTCTTCACCGTCCTCCGCTTCTAGCTGCTTCGCTCTCGTTTCAAGCCGCACGGTCTCCCTTTCGTTTCGATCCTAGTCCCCTAATCGTTTCGATACCCTAGACGTGCCCCCCTTTACCCGAATCGCGTGCAAAAGACATTCTATCACGTTCCTGTCTTTTAAAGATCCTCTTCGAAACGATATATACTGTTTTCTTGAACTTGACGATGTTGTAGTACGTTTGGAAACTCTTTGGATGAAATGATTTTTGATACACTTGCACCCCAAGTTTTTGTATTTCAGGAGGAAATTGATTGTAATTTTCCTGCTCGTTTCGTTGAAATCGAAACTTCGTTTTGTAAACATTTGGAAACTGGCACACCCACAAGTTGCTATCCAACTTATTTTTATAGCCTCGATAAAATTCTGGAGTTCTATTTAGAGTTACTTTCTTTAACATCTAATCTTGAGAATTCATTTTTTTAGCTCCTTAGTGAAAAGTGTTGAGGAAGCATTCTGGTCTGGACGATCTTCGAAACTTTTTTGAATACTTTTTGCAAAGCAACTCTATTAATTACATTATCGTTTGTATTACTTCGAGTTTCTTAAAAGCCTTCCATGCTGATGGAAATGTTCTCGTTAATTTTGGTACCATTTTAAGGAAGTGGTACTTCCTACAACTGTACCAATCTATTGCTATAGATTAATTCTACATTCTCGTATTACTTTGAGTTTCTTAAGAGCCTCCTATGTAGATGGAAATATCGTTAATTTTGATGCCATTTTAAGGAAGTATTCTGATCTGAACCATCTTCGAACTATAGATTAACTCTGCATTCTCGTATTACTTTCGGTTTCTTAATCTCCCACGCAGATGGAAATATCTTCCTTAATTTTGCTACCACTTTGACTGTTCTGGTCTGGAGGATCTTGGAAGCTTTTAATTTGTAATTAGAAGGAATGGGTTTTGCGAGCGTATCGGTAGGAAAAGCGTAGTGAAAAGCTCGTTGCACAGCCGAAATAGATAAATCCCGATCGGTGTTTCCTTCCTTTTTCCGCTCGAAACTCGCCCTCCGTTCGTCGTCTTTGCTTCCATCCCCCTCCCACGGCGATTCCGGATCGCGTTCTCGTTCCTTCCCGCGTGCGTTGGGTCTCTATCCCTATCCCCGCCCCCAGCACGAGCGGCGGCAGAGTCGAATCGGATGGAAGGAAGGCAGCCAGGCAGGCCCCGCTGGCCGACTGACCGTCCTCGACGTCTGTTATACCTTTACTCCGGTCTGCGCGTTCTTCAGGAACGTACGTGCCGTTCTCCCTAACCGCGCGATTTCGCCTCCTCGCCAAAAGGCAGACGTCAACCGTGACCGACCCGGTGCAACGTGCATTCTCTTTGCTCTTGAATCTCAGCGCGCGCTGGTTCGCCAGGAAATTCTCGTACTCGCACCGAGCGTCGTTCGTCGCGCGACAGAGGAATTCAGTTTTTCTTTTTGAACAAAAAAAAAAAAAAATATAATAATCAGTCAGGTGAACGATAACACGTACAGTGACAATGGCCCAGCTGATCAGCGTCAAGCTCTCCAGGTTCGACGGATCCCCGTGGGGCTTCCGTCTTCAGGGTGGCAAGGACTTTGGCACACCCCTCGTCGTGCAGAAGGTCAGTTGCTTTCTTCTTTCTTGGGCGATCACCTTGACGCCCGGTTGTCTTTCTTCGCCGTGATTCCCCCGGTGGACCCGTTCAGGGTCGCGTCTGACAGCTTCCATCCGTGGATCGCCGCGTCTATTCCGCGAAATGTGATTTTCATTGGACTCGATGGCGCTCCATTAATTTCCCGCCCGTAACGCCGATTGGAAACAATTGCCGATGAATTTAGATTGCGTGGCCGGCTGTCTAACGACGTGCGGACGAAATTTTATTCCCATCGGGGACCGATGGATCCCGATCGATCGACGATTCTATTTTTGTTTGTACACTCTGCGATTGTGGGTTAGGTGGGCCATCCCAGCTTCGCCATCTTCGTTCAACGACTTTGTTCCTCGCGTAAAAACAGAGAAGTGTCCGCGGGGGAAGTGTACCAAGGTTGATGAAATAAAAAAATTAAATCGCGTTGACACCAGTCTCCCCTATCCACATTTCTTTAAATTATACGCGTGACAATGGTTCGATAGGAGTGTGTCAATGAGCGCCGGTCACCGGTGACCACCGTGACAGTCATCAACATCGTATCGACTTTAAATATCAATATTGCCCATAATGCAAACTTCGATTTGCTATTCGAAGATCACCGGTTGACCCCTTGTTCGTCTGTCATAATTTTTATCCAGATAAGAATTTCGCCCGTCCCCGAGTCGACAACTCCACGATCCTGCGTGTCACGGGGATCGATAAAATCGTCGTGGCGCGCTGATTGCGCGAAAACGTCGGATATTTATCGGATCGATGATTTATCATCGTCGTATCGACCGTATTCGCTGATGTTACGATCGGTTTTAACGCGCGCGTGTCACCGCTGACACGGAGGACCACGCGATTTACCAGATCTCGAAAACAATTCACCGATATCTCGAGTACCGCGTTTCTAGCTCTCAGGATCACAAATTTCTTTAATAATTTCATCGTTTTAGTGCTCGCGAGACGTTCACGGTCGTCTAAGACGTCCCCGGGCGCTGGCGACGATCGCTTCGAAGAAAAAAAAATACTGTTTTATGTGCGAAAGAGACACGTCCTTTTCCGTCGTTGCTGTATGCGAAACGGCGGTTACGTAATCCGCCAGCAAACGCCAAATTATTTCACGCGCATCGGTAGAAATCGCTGCCAACTACGTGCGAAACGCGCGGCTCGTCGTCGCCGCCGTGTTTTGGCGACGAGGCTCGCTGTAACACGAGAAGCTTTTGGCTAGCCTCGCGTACCCGCGAACTTTCGAGCGAATTTTCAAAACTTTCTTCGTTTATCCGCTCACGGCACTCCCGGCGTCGATCCCGCCGGAGGCGTCGCGACGGATTCCCTTCGCCCCAGCGTCTTCTCGCCGGTCTGACCGTGCTAGTTTTCACTGTCATGTCTATTATTAACGAATATTATAGCATACCGGCCGAATTGCCCCGCTCCTCGCACGGGGGATTATGGTTTATAACCAGTTCCAGAAGCACGTTGCTACACGGAAGCTTCCACTCGTATAAACGGATTTAGCGTTACGGATTGTTACTCCAAAAGCGAAACGATTCCGCGAGAATAACACGGTGAAATCTCGATTCAATGGATGGGGGGAATTCTGTGTTTTCTGCGGTTCGATTCGAGCCATTTCAAGCACAAACGGAATTAAAATAAAATTTACGATATTAGCCAGAGCTTGATTAACGCGATTCGGAAAGTAAATGTTTAAAGAAATGCCTTCCAGCCTGAGGGAGATCGTAGCTCAGTTAGGTTCCATTCATAACCATATTTACAGAGCCATTCGCACATCGTGTACCTGTGTTCTTTCAAAATTGAATCTCTCGATTATACTAATAGCTACCATAAACAGATATTCGCTTTAACGCGTTGCTTTATAAACTCCGCGACAGCGTGGCAGCGTTGTGTCATTGAGAAATTTAATCGCTAATAATTATTCGAAAATTGTAGCGCTTATCTGTACGTTACAAAATAACTTGGAAATTAAGTGGACGTGTACGCGTCGGTATCCTTGAAAGTATGATGAGCCGTAATTACGCGCGTTGGTGAAGAAATTAGTGTAACTTTGAAACGATACGTGGTCATGGAGCGAGAGTAAAATGCGTAAACGTTTGAAAAATATAGTCTCAAAGTCCTTATGTCTCTGTATTGCGTGTGACATCACTGGAGGCTCATTAGTCCACATTTAAACTGTCTAATGATTCCATTTGACACCATTAACGTTAGGAGATATGATAAATACTGACATTTGGCAACCTGTGTTGTTTCTGCTTACAGCGAGTCATTAGCTGCGTTATTATAACGGATGAAAACAGAATGTGACACGACTTGCCTCCTGGTGGTCCACGTATATGTTATAAACTTAGAACTATGTATAAATTGCAACAAATTGCAACCGAAATGTTAAGCGAAAGCATGGAAAAATATTGAACGAGAAAATAGGGCGCGCTGGATGGTCGAATTTTGACTGTTCGAGTTTCGATGGTTCGCGGTTCGATGAATCGATCGCGAGCGCGGGTGGATCCCGTACCGAATGGCGTCCAACAGTTTTATCTTGCAATCGACATTTCGAACTTGGCCTTCTTAGCAGCACGTGCTCCGTTTATTTTACGAGGCCGCAAATACGACGTCCGGCCGCCTCCTCCGAGCTTCTCGGAAAGGAGAGAAATACGAGTCCCCGGATGTCAGAATCTCCCACCCGAGCCGGAATTACGAATTAATCGCGTGTAATCGCTAGAACGAACCTCGCTGTTTCGCCGTGGCAACTATTAACGACGATTTATAGATCCCCCGCGCGCTGATCCTTTCCCCTCCGCGTTGCAAAAGCCCCGACGTCTCGCGAGGGAAGCACTGCGAACTGTCAGACACGCTGATTCTAACGAAACTTCACGAAACCATCCCTTGCATCGAACCTTTCAACATTTGCAACTCGTAAATTACAAAAGATATCGAGAAACTTTTTAAACAACCCTAAACACGACGGGGATCAAAGAGAACGTGGACGCCACGAGTAAGTAGAATAGGGACGTTGTCGAGTGTTGGTCAGACACCACTTTTCTGGAATTTTGCACAGACTGTTACTTTTCAAGTGTTGGGGGCGAACCACTCATTTCATTTACCCCCTGTAATTATCAAAACTATCAACTATACCTTGTTTCATTGATTCAAAAACATTCATCTACATGCTAAAAGTTTTCTGATGTTTAGCTACTGGTTTGCAGACCTCCAGGAGGAATTTTTTATCCGAAACATTGGTATCTTCTGTGACTCAAGAATCATCCTCCTTTGGAGTCGTAAAGTGGAAGCAACAAATTCTGAAACGGTTCTTAGCCTTTGAACGTTCTTCGGAGAGTTTCATCGAAACCGACGTCTGACAGTTCGCAGTGTTCCCCTGTCAGCGGATCGGAGGAGTCGTAAATTCTGGAGACGCGAGCATCGTTCGCCATTTTATGACATCAACAATTATCCGTATTTACCGCTCGAAACTTTACGTACTCGGAATGTTGTTAACATATTAGTAGAGTTCCTACAATGTTCCGAGATTTACGGCCTCTGGATAGTCGCTGACGAACGGTTGCAGGAGTCGTGGTCGTAATACCAGCATCATTAAAAAAAGAAAAATTTACATTGCGTGGCTGCTCGCGAACGTTTCAAGGAGACCGAACGAAAGACGCTCGAGCACGACGCTGGGATCGTAGTTCGTGGCATTTTAAAAAAAAATAATCTGCGAGGAACCTTCGATTCGACGAAACCATCGATTTCGATGTTTACTGTCAGCTGTGGGGCCGAGTAAACGAACGTCTTCAAAGAATACGCCAGCAAATCACTTCCAATGGCTTAAAATTCAACTTATTATTAATTGATAGTAGGGTATTTGGTCAAGATTGCTGGTCGAATTGTTCAACGAGCGTTCAAAGCAACGTCTATCGCTTCTCTATCAAATTTACCAAATTAATGCAAATGAAAGCTAATCGAGGAATTTACGATAACCAAAATGGATCGATCAAAATTTACGGTTAAAAGGGATTCTAAATAAATTAAATACGCGTTGAAATTTGTATCGCATGCTTGGATATTTGTTCGATAACGCGGGGAATCGCGGAGGCGGGATTTTCGGGGGAAGGAAAATGGAGGCGATCGGGGGGACGTTTCGAAAAGAACCGATGTATCGGATACGGTGTAAAAAGCAAGATAAAGGAGGGAGAAAGAGATAGAGAGAGTCAGCGACGCGTCGCTGGTAATCCGAGGCAAATTATTTGGGCGTTCTATTTCTAGAAGGTGCCTTTGCGAAACGCGCGAGCCGGGTCGAGCCCCGCTCGCGAAGACAACGACGAAGACGAAGGCAAACTACGACGACGACCACGACGACGACGACGACGACTACGGTGGTGTCGTCGACGGCTACGGGGCTTCCTGGGCCGCGTTGGTCACCGCGAAAATAAATTTTTCGTCGGAGGGAGCGATCTCGTGTCGATCGATAAAAATACCGATCTACGACGCGCGCCACGTGCGTCTTGTCTCTCGGCCCGCTCCACGGAGCTGCGTAGAAAAAGGAATTTCGACGCGACCACGCACGCCGATGGGCAAAATTCTTATCCGTACCCACCGTTTCGGGCTGCAAATTAAACAATAAACGCTCGCATTTTCATCGTAATTCGCGTTTTTATAATTTTTTAAAATACCACCAGATACAAATTTCTAAAGAGAAAGGAAAACTTTTACTCGTTACTGGGAGATTCTCTTTTGAAATTTTGTATCTGGTAGCATTTTTAAAAATTATAAACACGCGAATTACCGTGGATGACATTTTGAATCGGAGCAACAATTTTTATGGGAGATAATTCTTATTCGTTGCTCCGTTGCGTATCGTGGATAAATTAAGATTTCTGCCGCGCGAAAGACGCATATTTTTCTTTCCGCGAGCCACAGCCACGCGTAATTCGAAACGCGTAAGACGTTCGCGCGCCATTTTTCGCGGCAAATGCAAC